CGTGCTGCTGTCTGTTGAGTGGCGTGCTGCTGCTATGTGCTGAATGACGTGCTGCTGCTGATGTGTTTAGTGACGTGTTGCTGCTGTCCGTTGAGTGACGTGCTGCTGTCTGTTGAGTGGCGTGCTGCTGAATGACGTGCTGCTGCTGCTGTGTTGAGTGACATAAGAACATAAGAAAATAAGGATTCTGCAATAGGCCGGTTGGCCTGTGCATGGCAGCTCCTGTCGAGAGTTACTACCACTCTCTATCATCCATGAATCTATCTAGCCTCCTTTTGAAACTTTCCAGAGTTCCCGCACTTACTACAAAGTTGCTAAGCTTGTTGCACTCGTCCACCACCCTATTTGTGAACCAGTTTCTTCCTATCTCCCTCCTAAACCTAAACTTATCCAACTTGAATCCGTTGCTCCGAGTCCTATCCTGCTCGGATATTATAAGAACTTTATCTATATCCCCTTTATTGATTCCTTTCACCCACTTAAATACTTCTATCATATCTCCCCGCACTCTTCGTCTTTCTAGGGAATGCAAGTTAAGTTTCTTTAACCTATCCTGATATGGAAGGTTTCTAAGTCCCGGAATCATTTTTGTCATCCTTCGCTGCACCGACTCTAGTGAATTTATATCCATTCTATAATAGGGGCACCAGAACTGAACCGCATGATCGAGGTGCAGCCTGACGAGCGCAAGATATAGTTGCAATAAGACCTCTGCACTCTTGTAACTTACACTTCTAGATATAAAACCCAATACTCTGTTTGCCTTATTTCGAACATTAACGCAGTTTTCTAGGCCGTAGGTCCGGGTTTACAAGTACCCCTAGGTCTCTTTCACAAGTCGACTGTCGACGTGCTGCTGTCTGTTGAGTGACGTGCTGTTGGTTGATGTGGTTGATTGACAATTGTTTGTATTAGGTGTCGTAACATAGGAAGACGTGGTACTGAGTGAAGTGTAGTTGTATAGATTGGTGACGGGATAGTATGGTGACGGGGAAGTATGGTGACGGGGTAGTATGGTGACGGGGAAGTATGGTGACGGGGTAGTATGGTGACGGTGTTGTGTTGCTGACTGATGTGGTCACGTGTTGCTGCTGGCTTACGTGGTGATTTATCGCTGGCTGACGTGGTGGCGTGGTTCTTACGTTTTGCTGGCAGGCTTGGTGCCGTGATGTCGGGTGACGTGGTGTTGGGTGACGTGTTGCTAACTTACTTGATTTGGCTGACGTGATATAGGATGCCGTGGTATAGGATGACTTGGCTGACGTGGTAGATGGAGTGGTTGTAGGTTGATGATGTGGTTTTTCAATTTGTGTTGTATTCTTAACATGGCATTGTGTTGCCCTATGATTGTGGAGTGGTGTGCTTCTGGTTGTGGGGGAATGTATGTGTGTGGGTGGGGGAGTGTGTGTGATGGTAAGGAAGGCTTTAGGTGATCAAGTCGCAATAATCACCTGAGCGTATGTGGCGCTGTTGTGGTGGTGAGGTGGCTTTGCGCCTCCTGCCGCACCCGCACCACCTCACCTCCAGTGTATGTGTAATTCTAAGTAAGATGGTGGAAATAATCCTTATATGCAAGTGTAGTAATATTCATTACCTGTCTAGTGTATTCTGGTCATTGTGATACACTCTACTTACTCTTAATACCAATGATGTAAACAAATCACTGTCACTGACTGTTTAATAGTATTAGTACAGGATTAGACATGCAAGTGAATTCAAAGGAAAAATCACTATAATTAGTTTGATTTTCAAACTTAATTTTCTACTGTTGACAGTTTTTTTTAATTATAGAAGGAAGGAGGCTAGTGGAACGTAAGAGGTTTAAATGCTATCTTAAAAATACACAACTTATTAATCTACGAAATTATAATAGTTAAAAGTATATCAAGAGTCATTAATTACTACTATATACTTAAAATAATAATGTTAATTAAACTCTTAATTGTTAGCACGTCCGAGAGAGTAGGGCCTGGGCAGATGCTAAACCTCGTAGAAATTGAGTAAAATTGAGACGTTTCACATGTTTAAAAACACGTTCTTGAGTAAATGTTTAAAACTAATCCGATAAGGTCACTTGTAGTCATGGTTAGGTTATTTCTTGGTGTTGGAAATATTTACCGCGGCCCCGATTCGCTTTATCCTTGACCCTTGGGATAAACTTGTTACAGGACTTGAAAAAAATATTACATGCTAACCCTAGTACTGCGTGGCCACTCTCCAAGTAAACTTTATGAACGTGTCAACTCCAATCCATTGGTTGTTACTGAATCCTTTTCCCTCCATCATCACATCACCCCATGCTGATATTCCTACTTTTATAGACAGGCCTGGGCATTTTATATTATTAAGAACCTATCTCACTTTGCTAAAAATAGATGACTGTACATAATTTCTTTGTGAACATTCATTTATAATTTACACTAATATGGCACCTTAGGCAGAACTTCATCATGTTGTAATCAAAGACACCCCCTACCAGGCACAGCACTACACCATGCGAACTCGGAACAATGGTTTTAAATTAGACAAATTTAGATTTAGGCGCGAAATAGGTAAACATTGGTTTGGAAATAGAGTAGTGGACGACTGGAACAAGTTACCAAATATCATCATTAACTCGAATACGCTGTATAGCTTCAAACATAGTTTGGATGGATACATGAGCAATAGGGGTTGGGTGTAAATGGGACTGCCCAGTATGGGTCAATTGGCCCGCTGCAGTTTCCTCCAATCTTATGTAATCAAAGACCTCTCAGCCAGCACTACGTCATTATGCTGTAAACATGGAGGTACTACCGCCTGGGAAGATATTGGAAGCATAACGTGTTGTCTATGGCAGACCTTGCTGCCATATGGCATCTCAAAAATTGTGACCAACTCTCAGGTTGCTGATCTGACTTTCTGCCCCATTTACACACGATTGCAAGGTCTCAATTGTTTCACTTACTATTGACAACACAACAAACATAATTGTTTCTCACTTTTGATTTTTTCAGTTTTGTATTTCTTTATGGTTCTTCATAATTATTATTATTATTAAAATTTCGCCCCTCCTCCCCCCAGGCCCTGATGTGGGTCAGTGACCTTTGCCCGGGTGGGCTAATCCCCGTAAAAAAAAATCAGTGGCCTCAGGCAGCCCTTCATCATGCTGCTGTAATTAATGGCCCTTCAGGCAGTACTACATGCTGCTGTAATCAATGGCCCCCCAGGCAACACTATATCATGCTGCTGTAATCAATGGCCCCTCAGGTAGTCCGTATACATCATCTGAGGTTAAGGAGGAAACTATAAACTCTCATGTTTTACTTTCGGCCGTCGGTATCACAGGACGTGAATACAATATAGTATACCAAAGTTTGTGTAATACGTAAATAGAAGAAAGTGGTAGTTGCATCAAAGGGAGTTCAAATGTTTTCTTAAAATCAGCTGACAATTTAAGCAAAACAGAGAATCATAACAAGGTGCAACATTGACCCCTCCCCCCCCCCCTGTCTCCTCCTGACGGGGGCCGCCGCCATCTGGCCGCAGCCCAACTGGCCGCGGGAAACTCGCCGCGGCCGACTGGCCGCCATATGGAACTTTTTGTTGACCTAACCTAACCTAACCTAACCTTTGAGAGCGCAAAAATAGGCGTTTGCAGTTTACCCCCAGTCCGCGGCGGCCAGTCGGCCGCGGCGAGTTTCCCGCGGCCAGTTGGGCTGCGGCCAGATGGCGGCGGCCAGTTGTCCCATTCCCTCCTGACGGGTGTACCGTATGTATGCGTAATATTATCGATACTTTCGTGAGTGTTAACGGAGACTTTTTGGTTCCCACATTGTGCTTAATTGTAATTATCCTTTAATTGGTTTGTTGCCTCCTTGACATAGTAAATTAATAAAAATATAAGTCGGTAAATACAGCTCACTCCTCATTTCCTGGGCCGCCACTTGTAGTACTTTTATCCTCTTCACCACTGATCGGCTCGTTAGCCACACCTGCCACACAGTCACACCAACTTGTATTTAGCCCATCCGGGCACAGGTCACTGACCCACATCGGGGCCTGGGGGGCGAAAATGTAATAATAATAATAATAATTTCAAATTAAATAAAATTTATAAAAAAATACAAAATTAAAAATAAAATAACACTGATAATAATAATAATAATAACAATAATAAAGAAAAAAAAGATCAACAGTGAGAAACGATATTTGTATTGTATGTTGTGTTGTCAATAGTAAGAGAAACAATTGAGTCCCTGCAATTGTGTGTAAATGAGGCAGAAAGTCAGATCAGCAACCTGGGACTTGGCCACAATTTTCGTGATGCCATATGGCAGCAGGGTCCACCATTAGACAACACATTATGCTTCCAATATCTTCCCAGGCGGTAGTACCTCCCTACTATCTACTAATGACGTTATTTATATCTGATAATTTATGCATTTAAATAATTAATAAGGGTTTTGTTATTGTCGATTGTACTGTAAGTTTTCGTAAGTTATGTATGCAGTTATTAGTATTGTTTCAATTACCTGTATTACTATTTTATCATTGAGTGATTAATTTTATTTTCGTATTGTTTTCAGTTTCTTTTATCAGTGTCTTTTGTGATAGTCACTCATGAAGTCATGATGATACTGTATTGATAACTGTTGGCCAAAGATCGCTCCACCAGTTAAATGGATAAACTTTTAATAAACTGTTGTACAGTAATCATAAATATTTTTTTGGTTGAGGAAGGAAGAGGACACAACATGCAAATTTTCTATGCATTGTACCATGAACGTTTTTATTTATTTTGCACAGCAAGGATACTGGTCATTCATAGTCACTTTTGGCATTTTCCCACCACATAATCTTGTGTTGCACCATTCTTATGTGAATGTAAAGGATGCCCAAGACCCGATATGGTTTAGCTGTTACATTTAGCCTTTGACATAAACTTGTACAGTGCTGTACTGTACTTAAAAAGTAGAAGAGATTACAGGTACTTACATCATGAAAAAGAAAAATGTTTGTCTCAGCTATACATTTTATTAACTTCTATTTTCATTTTATTTTTTGTCACTGAGTCTGCAGAAGTGGCTCTTGCCACTACACTTGCCTGCTGGAATGATGAGGATGATCCATCTTGGTAGCTGGGGTCTGATCTTATGATCACCTTTTCCTTCCTGTCATATCTTCTGGTCTCAGATGAATGCAAAGGTTGCTTTCTAAGAGGCAGGAGGTCTAATGGGAGCATGTGTCCACCCAGCTACGTCCATTGTAATTTTAGAACTTAAAACTGCCATTTGAGGTTCATTTAGTCTCAAGCTGACAGGTAATCTACAGCACATTCTCTTCTGTTCTACCTGAAAAAAAGTGAAAGTGGGTCCAATAGCATGACTGAATACATATTAGGTACCCATTTACAGCTGGGCAAATTGGGAGTACCCCAGGATTGAACAAGCAACCCTTAGAATAAGAGGCAAGCACAAAGTCAACTATTTAACTACAGGGTATAGATAAACACTAAGGTGTCTGCCACAATTGATATTTCTGGAATAGTTATCTGGGGACATAGAGCAGCAGCTTTACATATTATAAAGGGAAGACATGTTTTGTCTTAGGTGGATCACTTTGTAATGTTTGTTAATGTATATTAGTCTGACACTTCTAGAGTCTGGACTGGTGAGCTGGAAAAGGCTGGCATTTACATTGGTATCTATGAATCACTTGAGTGGGGGCGCATTGTCTTCTTAGTCCTGTACTTTATTCTCTTAACACTGATCAACCTGTTGGCCGCTTGGATGGTCGGTCATGTCTCTGTTGTTTGCAAGTACTGGTTCCAGAATGTATCTGTACCTGTGCCAATGTTAGTCAAATCTGGTCTTGAATGAGCTCACACTCAGTGCCGCCACAACACACTCCAGCTAATTATTCCAAGAGTTCACAACTATTCGCTCCAAAAAAAGTTTGCCTTGACAGTTTTCTGAACTTGCTGCTTCTTCAACCTTAAGCTGCAACCTCTAGTGGGGCGAGCATCTGCCAGTTCCAGGTATGAACACTCCACTGAGTAATGCCTTCTGAAGTATTTACAGACTTCTATTAAGTCACCCCTTGTATGTCTATAGTATAAGAGCTAGGTTTTATAGTCTCACTTCCCCCACTTTTGAGATTGTTTTTTTAACAAGCACTACAGAAGAGTGCATCAGCTAAAAATAAATGATTGATCCTAAAAACCTATTTCTTGTAGAGCCAATAGCTGAGCAGCTACAATATCCTCCCTTGGGTTTGTGTAAAATCACCTGGGAAATTTGAGTGAATCCAAGATGGGAAATTGGCCATGGAATCATTGCAAAATAGTTAAGCACAAGTGTATACAGTACTGTATTCCCCAGGTGGTTATAATGTATGCTCTAATTAGACCTTCTGCCTGTTAAGAGCAACCTTTACATTTAAGCTCCCTCTTCTGGTACAAGTACATACCTAGTTAAAATGGAAATAATCTGTGCCCTCCTTGAGCTGTAGTGAAGCCAGATTTTCTTCAAACACACCATCGGTCAGTTCCTGAAAATTAAATAATATTGTACTGTACAGTACTAGTCTTACTGATGTATCACAAATAACATAAAATTAATGAACCATACCAAAGCTTTCTTATGAGTTATTTTCTTGGAAAATACTGTACTGTACATACTTATTAAATTCATTTCTAACATGAATAAAAATACAAGACTAACAGCAAGAATAAATTACTTGTATAAGATTACTACAGCACTTCTTAAAACATACCAGTGCAGGATACAGTACTTAAAAAATGAAAGACCTCAGTAGGGAAGAGAAGACTGTCAGGAGACATATGTATCTTCCTGTGGCAGTCTTTTTTACATATCTTAATACGGTACAATACTGTAGTTACTCTGACAGGTGAGCAAAGGTTGATTATTAGTACAGGTATACATACTGTACTGTATTTACAAAATATAATCTGAGAGTTGTTTTTAATATAGAGAATACTGTACTGAGGTTGTAATAAAAGAAGACTGATAAAAATTAATAACTGCTTGATAAAGTACTGTATAGGAGAGGATATTTTGGCACAGTGTGGATAGAATTATGTATGAAAGTGATATGAGCACCATAAACCAGTACTGTATACATGTATTGTGAACATGAGAGTTTAAGCTTGACAGTCTACTAGGGATACAGTACTGTAGTTCCCCAAATAATGTAGGAAGACAGTAAATATACAAAAACAAACACAGGATGTGATTCCACCTATATTCACCTTGTTTTCCTACACCTCCACTCTTTCTGTGTTAGTATAGCATAGTGATTTTTTGTTTTTCAGTAATATACACTACCAGTGTGAACCCTGTAAGAAAATTTTGTTTTATGGATGTACAATTGCTAAAAAAAGTATCTGTGCACACTCCGTGTGAAACAATATGACACCATGGACGATAGATACAGTATTGGGATGTGTGTGTTGTCACCTTATACTATGTGATAGTAACCACTTAACCATTTATTTTATTCCTATAAGCTAACTCATCGCCTGTGTTGGATACTGAATGGCGGTGGGTGAAGATACGCATACCAACCCTCCCGATACATCACGAGTTGTACGTATAATTTTGGAAGTCATCGGACCCACCCTGTTAGACATTTTTTTTAGCTACTGTACACTACGCCATTAAACTGAGCATCCATAAATCCTGAAATTCAACAGTGTGACTTGTCATACCAGGCTGAAGTAACAGCCATGTCACTCTGGTTATATAGTACTGTATTGTGTTTGTTCTAGTTTTGTTTTTCTGGTGTTAATATTAAATAAAACATAATTAGTGGAGAATCGCCAGGCCAGTTTTACAATGGTCTGAATGTAAATGTGTCTGTTAATTTAAGGTGCAGTAGTACAGTACAGTACTACCATTTGCAATAGTGACTTTGCAATCTCTCTTGTTGTGTTTGAAATAATAGTCCAGTCTTAAATTTAAACATAAGAAAATACTTCTTTACACAGAGGGTGGTACAGTATATCTGTGGAACATTCTACTAACCCAAGCTGTGGAACTGAGAACAGTACAGTACACTGGTACAGTGAAACTTCTGAAATTTGGAATTCTAAAGTACACTTATTTTTCCTTTTGCCAATTTTAGTATTTTTTATTATACATTATATGAAATCTTTAGTACAGGTTGTACCTCTCTAGTCCGGCAACCTCGGGACCTAACCTGTGCCGGACTATGGAAATTTCCGGACCATGGAAATTCACCCTTTTCCTGGACAGATAGTGACTTGCGCTTACGTTAGCACCACTTTCACTGCTTCATGGTCTCTTTGAAGACATATAGAAGGGTTAAATGTCGTACAGTAGCTTCTCAAATTTCGGAGTTTTTAATTCAACGTTTTTTATTTGGACACACCAAAAAAACACTACATAATTTAAAATTTTGACGGCGGAAACTCGAATTTCGACGGGTTTGAACGGCCCGACAACATACACAATCATGTAAACAGCGTCATTTCTTTCATGTACAAATGATTCATTATTGCTTATTACTGAATGTCTTTTTTTATTGAATTCATGTTTATGTGTGCAAAATGAGCAATACAATTCATTAATAATACGTAGAATATTAAAACACACGAGGAAATGAGACAGCATTGTTTTCGTTGATTACAAAACCAGTGACTGACTGGTTCTACATACAGTATAAAACATGAAAATAAGACCCTGGTTGTAGCTGTAGTAAAATTAATGTAAAAATTAATATGGTTGTTTGAAGTAATGTTATTTAATGTTAATAAATGGAACAATATAAGTAGCTAACCATTAATGTTAAAGAAAAAACTGAGACTGCGCGTATGTAGGTGAGCACATGTAAAAATATATCGTCATTACTCTACATAAGAATATGAAAGCAACACTTATTTACTGTTCATACATACTGAAGGGTTAAATGTTGTACTCTGTACTGTATAGACAAACAGAGAGAGAGAGAGAGCCGAACTGCCGGATGTAAACAAACCTTAATTTCCCGCAGCTTTGTTCTTGATTTTTTTTTTTATGGGGATTAGCCCACCTGGGCACAGGTCACTGACCCACATTGGAGCTTGAGGGGCAAAAATGTAATACTCCTGTAACAATAATAATAATTCAGATAAGTAAAAAAAAATAATAATAAAATAAAAAATAGCTGCCAATCTACCTATTGGGCAAACTAAAATCGTTCCGGACCACAGAATGCCGGACTAGAGAAGTACAACCTGTACCTGGTACTGTGCTTCTGCCAGTTATAGTAGAATGTACACTACTTATATATTGTACTGTACTGCATTCATCATTATTTTTGTTCATTTGAAGTTGGAGTGTTTTCCTGTTATCATGGTCCGAAATGCAGCCAGTCTCCAGTTTACAAAATTAACAAGTTCCTGAAAATGTGCTTGTAAACTAGTGTTTGCAAATCAGATCAATATATTGACTGAAAGATGATATAAATATTAAATTGGTCTCCAGATGTTAGTGAAAAATAAAAATAAATAAAATAAATACTGTAGTTACCAAAACATACAGTACTGTACATGAATAAATTGATATTATAAATAATAATAATAATCCAGTACATGTAATGAACTGTAAATGAAAATAAGTCTAAATGAATGATCAGTATAAAGCCACAAGACTGCCCAAAATGTGTATAGCACCATTCAAATAAAGCAGAGGTTTATGTTTTCCTGCATTCAAGTGTCTTGAATTCCTACAGGTTGGTGGAACTGTATAGTACTGTAGTATGTTTAAAAAAGCTGAGTTTGTATGAGCAGAATGAATGTTCAAAAGACTGAGACATGATCATAAAGTATAATGTTCGTATGTTCATATTTGTATGTTTTGATGTTCGAAAACTGAAGATAGTCTGTGCACTGTACTCTTGGTTTAATACAAAAGTTGGCAAAATATGATACAGTACTGTATTCAGAAAGGGCCAGGCCCCAATTGATCAAAATTTCAGTTTCCGGCATATTGTGAGCACTATTCAATGATTATTTACAGTGGCATATATGACATTTTGATTAAAAATAAACTATGTTGGATATTGACAGCTACTGTGAAAGTGGGTTGATGATAGGAAATGCATCCAGTCACAAACCTGGTTCAAATTTACCTGATGGCAACAAGGACACCAGGACCTGAGTAATCGTGGTTAATCCACGCAAGTGCAGAAAATGGCTGTATAACGAAGGTGGTGGTCACGGTGATGGGTAAGACTGCCATGTACAGGTATTGCAAACCCTTGATATGGTTCCATTATTTAAAAAATGTGAATAAAATTCTTTTCAGGTTTGTCAAAGATATTGTGAATAAAATTAAATCTCTTCACTTTGATTGTGTAAATAATATAGATAATCTTACCATTTTCATGCAGATTATCAATGGTGGTTTGGCTTCCTTGAAGTGAATCATTGGTATTCTTGGCTTTGGTTTCTCTTGAGATTCTTCATATGTGTAGAATGATCCAATTTTTTTAACATCCACATCACAGAATGCCATTACCTTCTTCTGGTTATCTGTCGTGAGTGATCTGTAGAATTTACGTCCTTGTTTTCCAGCATTCCATATTGTGAATGATGGCCAAGAGCTTAGAACTTCATCTTGGATTACTCTCACCCTTAAGTCCCATATAGTTTGCCTGTAAAGAATAAGTGTAACCCCCAGACTTAAATACATATACTGTGCCGAATGTAGTTTAACATAAATGGACAGTAAAGTATCATTCTTATTTACAGTATGTTAGAAATCAAAATACAAAATAACATTACATATAGTGTTGTTCAAATGAAAAGGGGAGCAGATGTTATTAGTACAGGTATTTTACAGGTGAGAAGCAATTATTCCATACTTAGTTACAACACATACTGACTCATGAATTGAAAATGTTGTGGCCTGAGGATGGTATCGATATATAAGAAGTTCTTCATCATGCCGCACCACTCTGCCTCCCCTTTTTAGATGGGTGAAGAAGAAAATAAGGTCTTCTGGAGTTCCTGCTCCTGCATCACTAAATCCTCCAACTCTGAGAATGGAAATGCACATAAAACTGATAACATTGTATCCAAAATTTATCATAAGGAATGTAGAATTCACCAATTAATGTTAGTTTTTATTATATGTACAATATGTAGTCAGAAAAAAAAAATCACTTTTTTAACATGTTTTCACTACAGTATTCATTAGAAAATATATATATGAAAATGGTGAATTTTTTTCATTGCTTTGGATATTTTGATTTGTACCCTAAATCAATTAATAAGAATTTTTTTTTCGTAACTTCATATTTTTGTAAACTGAATCTTTGTAAATCAGGGATTACTGTACCTGTATTGACAAAATGATTCCTCCACTCAGTGATACCCTGTACAGTATGTCATAAATGAAAGACTGAAGTATAAAATCTTATGTTATTAATTTATTCATATTGTCTTTGTTATTTCTGTATGAAATAACCGACTGACCTTTCAAAAACAGTATGATGGATGAACCACGTTGGCATTATAACTGTTGGACCATGTGATGTATATATCTGTAAAGTTAGTTGTTCTGCAGTCAAACCATTTGCCCACTTGGTGTAACGCACTGTCGAGTCTGGTGGATCACGACTGAATCTGCTTCCAACAATCTGGAAATAATGTGTCAACAGCTGAATAAATGTATGTAAGAATGTTATCTACATGTGTCTGTCTCCTCATTTATCAATGTTACTTCTGGATGCCCAGTACAGGTACACTGTGCCTAACCCGAACCAGTTGACTGAATGGCATACCCTCACTGGTCTTCCCAAGGGGAGTGTCACTGTTCCACCACATTTCATTGGAAACATAAGAAGATTCCCAGACACTGCTGGATATGACTCATTTACGAACCTATCTCAAGAAACTTGGAAAAGGGGCGTGGTTATCTACGCTAGGCAAGACCTTAGAGCCAGCCAGGCGATGGTACAGGGAAAGGATGTTTTGAAGAGTCCAAGTGGTGTAAAATTAAACTAAAGGGAGGGGCTTACTTATTGTCGGGTGTATCTACAGATCCCCAAACTGTGGGGCATTAAATCAAAGGAACTTAAGAACCTTAATAGACAATGTGGCGATGCTCAACCCTCGCCACCTCCTTATCATGGGGGGACTTTTAACTATGGCGACATCGACTGGAGAAACGAGTTCACCCCAAATGACTTGAATAACCCTGCTACTCTTTCTGTAGAAACTCTAAGAGATAATTTTCTGTTCCATGTTAGAGACCTGACACATTATAGAGAGGAGCAAACACCCAAACCACTAGACCTCATCATAACTAACAAAGAAGGTATGGTGGCCAAACTGGAACACCTTGCTCCAGTTGCCACCATTCACCATATAGTGTTGTCATTCAGATTTAACTGTTACCTAGTTCAAGATAAGGCCAGGCCAAGGTGCAAATATTACAAGGGGAATTACAACGGGATGAGGGAAGAGATGAGGGGTATCCACTGGCCTGACTCATTAAGGCACAAGAACGCAGACACTACGCTGAATATCATAACTAGTAAAATGACCCATTTGATCGATAAATATATACCCAAGACCAAACCCAGTGCTTCTAGGAATACGAGGGGATCCCTACACATGAACCATGCGGCGGTCGACAAAATTAAGAAGAAAACCCAGAAATTCAAGACGTGGGTTGGGTCAAACGATGAGCAAGACAGGAGGATGTATGCAAGAGCCAGAAACAAAGCAAAGATAGAGTGTAGGAGGGCTGAAAAGGAGTTCCAGAAGTTGGTTGCAAGCGAGGTCAAGTCAAACCCAAAGGCGTTTTACCGCTATGCAAAGTCAAAATTGAAAACGCGAGTAGGAGTATCAGACCTGAGGCTGGTGGATGGTAGTTATGCAGATTCTGACCAGGATGAAGCTGAGGCATTGAACAGCTTCTTTTCCTCAGTGTTCACAAGAGAGGATGCAACTAACCTTCCTGCTTTTGAGGACAGACGGTTCGACACAGCACTGACCCACATTGTGTTCACAAAAGAGGGTATTAGAAATAAACTGTCCAGGCTAAGGGTCCATAAGAGTCCCAGCCCTGACATGGTGCATCCTAGAGTGCTAAGAGAGTTGTGCAACCAGCTTGCAGAGCCCCTGAAGATCCTGTTTTGTAAATCAAATATTAGCCACCATATTCATCATCATCATCATTACTTTTAATGGCCATTTTCAACACTTTTGGGTTAGCTGTGATTACTTAATGGTATGGTGTTGTGGTTGTCATCAGGTAAACTTGAAGCAAATTTTGTAGCTGGATGCCCTTCTTGTTACCAACCTCATTTTACAGAGTGGGAATTAATCTTCCAAGTGCCCTCTTAGCTGGCAAGGCAAGGTTACTATTCTTTGAGGTAATCAAAGATTATCTGCCTATTGTTTACATAAAAAAATACTTACAGCATTACAACTATGAAATGCCAGGTCATATTGCCTTTGTAGTCTTGTTGGTAACATGACATCATCCTGAAAGAAAAAAATAATAATTTGCATGGTGACTGAAAAGCTTACTACTGTACAGTATCAGATTGAAGTAAATAATATTAATTCTTAGTAACCAGCACTAAACATTCATGAAAATATTAGCTGATATCCCCTTACACCTGTACATTATTAAATATTTTTTCATTTAAAAATATTAGTACAGTACAGTACAATATCTGGATGTGAAGCAGTACTAATTGGTGGTTAACTTTCTTTGATTTTATAGTTCAGTACAATACTGTACTGTACTGTATTGCACTGTACTTTATCTTTTTTTCACATCTCTTTAGTACCCCTTGACAAGCTTGCCTAACTACTTTTACCAATGAAAAGTGAAAGTGGATCCCATAGACCTGATGGGCTTTTAGAGGGTAGTGTGGTTACAGCATATTGTAGACTAATGTCTGTATTAAAATAGCTGGTATTACCCTTTGAATCCCCTTCCAGCTTGTGGATATATCCTACCTTAACTCATAAGTTCAATAATAAACCAAATATGTCATTATACCTGCCTTTCACAGGTCTGATGTAGGTAATTACAGGCCAGTTAGTATCCTGTGAATTGTATCTAAAATTCTAGAGAAAGTAAACTGTATTGTAATATATGTTCAGGTGGAAAGATATTTCCCCAATTTTAATATTTTTCACAGTTACCATTCAAGCTTTAGGGGCTCTCACTCAACTGACACCAGGTTGATGCATCTCACCCAAATAGCTTATGAAAATTACATAGATGGTAATGTTAGACTTAAAAAAGTCTTCAACACAGTGGATCATGATATACTATGTGAAAAAATGCTGGTTCGTGGCATTGGATCTGTTGACGGGTTTAAATTTTATCTAAACAACAGGAACCAAATAGTTGCTGCAAATATTACCGAGTCAAAACCCTTGTTGATAGCCTGTGAAATCCCTCAAGAGAGTGCAGTATTCTAAGACCAATGTTCTTCCCTTCTTATGCAAATATCATGCCCGTTAATGTTAACTGCAAACTTGTTGTATGCCGATCACTGCCCCCTTTAGTGTCAGGTAAAGATCCAAATTATATAGGTAATAAGTTATCATCTGAACTGGAGTCATGCAAACAGTGGTTTATTGACAACAGATTATTCCTACATCTGGTAAAGAATGAAACAATATTACTGTATTTGGATCAAAAGGAAAACTCCAAGGAGAAAACAAATTCAGTATACTGTCAAGTGAAAAATGCCATATTCTTTACGGTCCTAATGGACTGGAACAAATTACCTGACCACATTAAAATTAGTAGTGGTATCAAACAATTCAAAGCTAAAACTATAAAATACATAACATGTAGCTACAGCAACAGAAGAGAAAGTGAGTTTCTATATTATTAACCAGAGATACTGTATACTATTATTGATTAGTAACCAAAACTAAGTAATGGATCATACTGAAAATAACCATCAGACAAAGCAGCTAAAAACCGAACATCAACAGTACAGTATCGTACCGAATCAAGAAAACACAGGAACTCGCCATGACTTTGCTCAACTGCCTTATTTTTGGCATATCCAACTGGAAAGAAAAACAGTTCATTCATTAATGTAATTGGAATTATAAAATTTAAATAAATTAGGAAGAAAGATACTGTACAGACATTATCTGAAGATAAAAGAGCATGGGAAGGGAGAAGTTTTGAGAAGACTGTTAATAAGAAACAAAGTACAGTACAGTACAATACATAAAACATCAACAGAAAATAAGTACAGCAGATTCAGATACATTCAGGAGCCAGTACTTGCCAACAGTGCATAACAGAGACATAACCGATTGCCCAAGCGGCTAATGAGCCGATCAGTGGTGAAAAGGATAAAAGTAAAAAAGTAAGGTACACTCAATCTGGCCATCAAACTATGATGATACTGTAATGTAATCATAATGAGGAAATTTTGACTCAACTGCCCAACATAGGGTGAACAAAGAACAGATTTAAGTACTGTACCAGTAAGTTATACAGTATAGTGCATTGGTGTACTAATTGGGAAACTAATATCCAAAGAAGTGTAACAGATACTGTATAGCCAAGTGTAACATCTGAGTCATTTGTTGGTTTTAATGATGTACAGTACAGTACTGTATCTCGAAGTATCTGTCCACAGTTTGTGTGAAAAATTATGACACACAGATGATAGATATTGGGACATGCATTTACTTTGGTATATAATTTAACAAAAGTATCGTAGTGCAATGTGAATCTATTTTGGTGTAAGTCATATGATCGGTTACCTAATGTAGTAGGATCACTATGCTACAGAGCCACGTATACCAACCTTGTTATAGCATTTTGGAAGTCATCGGACCCCTTCTGGCAGATACTTTTTTGAGATACTGTACAATACTATTTACATTATGGTGAGGAACAAAGCTGTAAAATACTGTACAGTAGTTCCATTCTAGAGCCAGTACATGCCCAATACTTGTACAGGACAGTACTTGCCAATAGTGTGTAACAGAGATGTGACCGACCACCCAAGCGTCTTGGTGGCAAAGAGGATCAAAGTTGAGGTACTATACAGCATAATGCATGTTAATGAATAAATTTCAGTATTAGAACAATACTCACCTCCTTTAGGTTTATCATTGTTCTCTTTGCCAACTGTAATAACATATCCTTGATCTTCAAGCTTCACAGCCCAGCCTTGTACAATGTCCTCAGAGGTGTCCTTACACGAGTCCAAGAACACAGACACTTCCACGGTGAGTGTGTGCTGCTGCCTCAACACAGATGCCAGGCACTCACCCAGCCACACAGCGCCATTGTGAACTGGGATAATAACAGACTAGAAAACAGAATACAGTATACAGTATCACTATTAGTGATTAAGTGTACAGTACACTACTGATATGCAACTAATTATATCATACTTTAAAATGAAAGTTTGAAGGCTTCCCTAGGAAATTTTTTACCTGTAAATAAATTTATTTACATTATTTCAGAGTGAGAGTTGTGAACTCTAAGAACAATCTGTCAGAGAGTGTTGTGATGGCACAGAGTGTGAGCTGTTTAAAGACCACTTGACAAGCACTGGAGCAGGTTCATATACATTCAAGAGCCAGTACTTGCCAACAGTGCGTAACTGAAGGCGTTTTAAGATGCACGGAATAGCTAACGCATTAGCTTTCCTGGACTGTCATTAAAAAATATGACATTGTACCGCGTCTTTGGAATAACTCTTGTACAACACAGTCTTCAGAAAACAATAAAATTAGGATTACTGTTACTTGGACACAATATGGAAAGAAATAGTGAAGATAATATATATATAAAATTATGGAAAGAAAGACAAAAAGTCAATCAGTCAACAATAAATAAGAATACTGTAACACAAAAAATCGGGCTCATTGTAAAGGAAATGTCTCCCTGACACTGGAACCACGCAAAACGACTAGAGCAGCTGTACGCTTCTTCTCTCGCGGCTAGGTGTTCGCATATTTTGACACAAAATACGACGAATTTCAGGCTCATTTAAATCTTCATCTTTGCACTTACAGAACTGTAATCAACTTGTTCATTCTGCAAACGCTAACGCCTGATCGAGGTGTTAGCTTTTCCCTCTGAAGTGTCATGCGCATAAGTCAGCAGCAGCGTAGGCACAGACAGAATAGCTAACGCGTTAGCTAGTCCGTGCATCTGAAACGTCTTACAATAAATGCCTTAACAGTGACATGACCGACCCCCGAAGCAGCGAAAAGGATAATAGTAAAGTTCTATACTTTAAAACAGAAGGGCTTCATGTAACATACGAATACAGAAAGTACTGTAGTCATCAGTGACCAGTGTATTAAAAAATACTCACCCACATACTGTACTATACGATATTCTTAAGGAACATACCTCTGTTAGAAATTTAACCACACGTCAAATAAATGATGGAGAACTCACATTAAGAAGCGTGGAAAGATATACGGTATGCTGTTCATAACAATTACTGGATGTTAACTTATGTACACTTTAATTAAGACATCCTAATGATCCTAGGCCGTGTAAATGAAGAGACAGTCTACAGTACAGGGCACAGAGTAAAGTTCGGTTATGTGGGGGTAATTTTTGTCTGGCTATTGCAACACAAAAAGACCAAGGTGACCCAACTACATGGAGATTGGAGATGAGAGTGAAATGCTCAAGTTTTCTAGATGCTCAGTGGGTGGGGGTCAGTTCTCATGGTAAGAGGTACCAATGAGATACAGATAAAAGAAAAGGAAAAGTAATCAGAGCCGATCAGTGGTGAAGAGTAAAAAAGTAAAAAGTATACTACTGTTACTGTGTCTTTTCAGTTGTGATGACTGATCTATTTACCGTCTTAGAATTAGCACTTAAAATATAGTTGATGAATTGAAATAATATTTTGACAAAAATTAAGATAGAGGAGTGTCAAAATTAAGATAGAGGAGTAAATTAACCAAAACCCACACCAGACTTGATGTACTGGTAGTGGTATTTACAGGATATGTACGGTAAATATCGTATACACTTTATATGTAATAGTATAGAATATATTATATATGCAATGTTTACTGTAAAGAATTGAATTAAATCATTACCTGAGCTACTACTAATTTAGTATACTTACGACATCAATATTATCCAAGTTCATTGTTCCAGGGCGCACTTGTCAATGACAGTATTTTCTGAAAGAGATGAATTTATATTTATTCGTATATGGTTTACAACAGAAGGGTGAAGAATTACCTGAACGTTTTTAAAGAAAAACAAGAAAACTTGTAACTTGAATGTAACACTAGACGAGAATAAATTAAAACAGGTAAAATTACTGAAGCCCTTATATATCTATATCAGGTTAACTATGATTTGTAACTTACCCTGTCCTGTTTTGTCGATATCTCTTGTGTATAATTCAGTAATAATAATTATGATACCCTCTTATATAAAAAGCGTGTCTTGACTTCTCTAAACACTCTACCGGACTGGTCGACGACAAATGCTTTGAAATTAGCGCCGAATAATGGCGCCGCCATCTTCACTATTGGACGGTTCCTTTCCGAGTAGACGGGCCTTGCCACATGTGATTCTTCCTGATTCTCACTCCCTAGTGCTGTTTTCCTCCGGAATTCAGGTATGATGTATCCATTATTCATACAAGTTCATGCACATTGTGTTGATATATAATTAATTATACAAGAACCGAAAATCAAGGTACATGGCCCTAGATGCTCTTGCACTAAGTCTTTGTTTACAAATGAAAATTTCGTGAATACCAACCTCAAATAAATCTTTCTTCTAAAATTCCTTGTCCGTTGCTGATTTATCACTTTTACAATAATATGTTGCTGATTTGGTATATAGTTGCAGCAAATGGAAGACAATAATCTGTAACATTACCGGGATGGCTAGAGTACACGCCCCAAACCACTTCCTGCCTCCACTAATCCATCAGTTCTTTATTAAAGTATCTCGCTGACGTCTGGAAAGCGATAAAACTATTCATAAAAAAAAATGTTAAGCAATGTTTCGGAATTTTTTAATTATATCCTTATAATATATTAGGGAGGTTATTAATGATAAATAATATGGCATAGTTAATGTTGCTGGCACTGCTGTTCATGTAGTATGAGGCACTTTAAGAAACACCATAAGAAAAAAATATTCAAGTTGATATTAAATATTCCCTTATGGTGAGGATCTATAACGTAATGTTCTGTATTCTTCCCTGGATTAAAAGATAACAACTCATTACATATTCTGTACTGTACTTTCTGATGATATTGGACACTGTCTTGGGCGACAAATTTGTCTAGAATGATAATGTTTTGTACTTCCTTGGAGACAAAAGTATTAATCAGGCCATCTAAAATACTTTACTGTATTGAGTAATTATTGTATAGTATAGGTGTTAAGTATACTGATTATGTTACAGTATATTGGTTACCTTGCTATATATTGTGCTTGTTGTGTTACTCTACCAGAGATCTCTCCTGGGTGCAGGCCTTCATCAGCCTCTGACAACATTTTACTAGGATTATCATTGTTTGACTATTGGCTGTGCATTCTAGTCTGATAGTATAACGGACTAATCTCTCCACATACATTCGTACTGTATTGTAATCCGTTAGATGGGGATTTTCACATCTAATGGATCATCAATATAATGGACATTCATTACTATATAGTTCATTAGATGATGGTTTCACTTCTAACGGACCCGCTATATAATGGAATTTCCTCTCCATATAGTCCGTCAAATAGAGGTTTCACTGTACAGTAATTTCTTTTTAAAGGAAAGTAATGCGTTAACATTAATACCTGTAACATTGTTTTGAACAGAGTTCCAGACATCTACAGAGTGTCTCTTTTACTTACTTTTTACTTTATCCTCTTCACCACTGATCGGCTCGTTAGCCGCTTGGGCGATCGGTCAAGTCTCTGTTACGCACTGTTGGCAAGTACTGGGCATGTACCGGCTCCTGAATGTACCTGAACCTGCTCCAGTGTTGGTCAGATGTATATACAGGGTACACTACCTTACAGATTTTTATGGAGATTATGTGATTGCTTGTACAGTGTATTACAACAGTAACATTCATTGTTTGTGGGAACCTTGAACATCAACAAGTGGGGACAATGTTACTGTTTGCACTGTAGTGGATACTCTCCCCTACAACTGCTCGTCCATCCTTTCCTCAGCCCAGTCTGCGAGCGACTCGGGCAGGAGCTGTGGTCTGGAACTCGCTGCTGATTGGCTGAGGAGAAGACGGCAGGCGGCCAATCAGCGAGCGGTTCAGGACCGGAGGCTGTGGTATGGAACTTGCTGCTGATTGGCTGAGGCGAGGACGGAAGAGCAGTTGTAGGAGAGAGTATCCACTACAATGCAAACAGTAATGCAATCTCCACAAAAATCTTTAAGGCAGTGTATTCAGTACAGTACACATTTTTCTTCTGCAATGATTTTTTTATACAGTATATCAGTGAGCATTTCCAATGTTCTGCTCCAGGTCATTAGAAAAAAGTGATGTTTGAGGTATTACTTTTATCCTCTTCGCCACTGATCGGCTTGTTAACCACTTGGGCGATCGGTCACGTCTCTGATTACTTTTCCTTTTCATTTATTTTCTTCACCGAAAGATCGGCTCGCGATCCGCCCGGGCGATTGGTCACGCGCTGTCACGCACTGTTGGCAAATACTAGGCATGCACCGGCTCCTGAATGTACCTGAACCCGCTCCAGTGTTGGTCAAGTCTTGTCTTGAAAAAGCTCACACTCGGTGCATTTTAAAACATAATAAAGTATCTTTTTCATTGGATTTAAGAAATGTTTTCATAGTTTTTCTAAAGTTTTGCATTACAATACAGTAGTAGGGTTTATTAATTTGTATACTGTATAGATACCAGCAGTGGCATGTATTATACTCTACTGTAGTTAAGAACCACTGCTAACACTATGAAATGTTAATTAAAAAGGTTTTATTCGTAGATAATTATTTTCTCAGTGAATTTAGTTTAAACTTGTAGTGGAAACTAACTAGACAGGTGCTTGTAACTGCCAGTAATTTTCTTATTTCACTACTGTACTTATCAGTTTACTCTCTGTTTCAGTGGTTAGTCTCTTCTTTTTCACTTTGTTATGAAATACATTATCCAGTGTTAGTACAGTACACGAGGAAACCGGAGTATACTACAGTACCTGGAAAAAAGTCTCTGATGTTTGGTAGGGTCACATGGATACAGTAACACCCTTCCTGCATATGTCCCAGTGTAAGGGGGGGTGGGGGGAATTAGAATGTTTTTATTTATTCTATTTGTATTATCTTATTAGTACTTAATATTGGAAGAACAAATACTGTCAATGTATACAGCCTTAACAACATCAACCTAGAGAAGTCGACTTGTGAAAGAGACCTAGGGGTACTTGTAAGCCCGAACCTACGGCCTAGAAAACAGTGCGTTAATGTTCGAAATAAGGCAAACAGAGTATTGGGTTTTATATCTAGAAGTGTAAGTAATAAGAGTGCAGAGGTCTTATTGCAACTATATCTTGCGCTAGTCAGGTCGCACCTCGATTATGCGGTTCAGTTCTGGTGCCCCTATTATAGAATGGATATCAATTCACTAGAGTCGGTGCAGCGAAGAATGACGAAAATGATTCCGGGACTTAGAAACCTTCCATATCAGGATAGGTTAAAGAAACTAAACTTGCATTCCCTAGAAAGACGAAGAGTGTGGGGAGATATGATGGAAGTATTCAATTGGGTGAAAGGAATCAATAAAGGTGATATAGATAAAGTTCTTATAATATCCGAGCAGGATAGGACTCGGAACAACAGATTCAAGTTGAATAAGTTTAGGTTTAAGGGGGGAGATAGGAAGGAACTGGTTCACAAATAGGGTGGTGGACGAGTGGAACAAGCTTAGCAACTTTGTAGTAAGTGCTGGAATGCTGGAAAGTTTCAAAGGGAGGCTGGATAGATTCATGGATGATAGAGTGGTAGTAACTCTCGACAGGAGCTGCCATGCACAGGCCAACCGGCCTATTGCAGACTCCTTATTTTCTTATGTTCTTCTTATGTTCTATGTTATCTGTGTAAGAGATATCTTTGTTTTTTATGTCTATATTTTTCTATTGTTCTTCTTTCCTTTTCTGTTATATACTGTATTATTTTTTCTATATCACTTTCTTTACTTTCTTCGTTCATGTTTTCTAAGTTAATAAATTTTTGCCTTTATTTCTATATGCTTATTACTTTATTTCTATACTTCACTTTTCTTACTTTATGTTTATTTTTTCAATGCCATTACAGTAAGTCCTCGCTTAACGTCGTGGTTCCGTTCCCGAAAACCACGACGCTAACGGAACAACATTAACAGAATCAGTTTTCCACATAAGAAATAGATAAAATACGTGAGTTACGTTCCCCAGCCTCCCTTTGCCCCATAAAATACATTGCATATACCCTGTACATAAATTTAATGGAATTTGTATAGAAAATAGTATACAGCCACTCCTCGACTTACGACAGGGTTAGGGACCCAAATCCAAGACGTAAGTCGAAAATGTGAAAATAATACATAGAAAATCTATAATCGGTGTCTCATTTTCTTCTCAGCACCACAAAACTCACTTTTAAGCTTGCCAGCCATTTTAAAGGGAATTACAAACGAAAATTTTGTCAGTACACAGCGCAATCACTAATGTTGGGACTTGAAAATAAGTAATTTGAAAAAATTTTGGCACGACTGGGACGGTCGTATGTCCGGGTGGTCGTAAGTCGAGTAGGTTGTAAGTTGAGGAGTGGCTGTATATTATACATCCCAAAAAGATAAATAAACTACAGTACAGTTTACCTGACCCAAACATTAAAATTGGTAGTGCCAAGTTTTTCCAAAAGTTTTACCTATAAACATTTTGTAACAGCATATGGCTCTTCTGTTATAAAACAAATATATTTTTTGTTCCCTTGTTGTTAATAATTGCTTGTAAAATTTTGTTATTTGTTATTCTGAGATAAGTCAGTTACAGTATTGTACTTATACAGTACAGTACAGTATAGCTTTCTTTTGTCTAGTTACTGGTCTGCCATGTTGTAGAGAAGAAGAATATTCTCTCTTGTTTTAGACCACATTCTTTGCATATTGTCAATTTTATGTTTACTGTACAGTACTGTACTTAAATACTCGCTGCTACATCCAAATGTGGCAAGGGAGGCTTTGTCATGGAGGATTGGCATGCCCTCAAAATCATAAGATATTTGTTCCATCTGCAATCTTTAAAATGGGTGTTTAGGATTCAAACTTCATTTCTCAGTCACTACCTAGAATCTCTTACCCATATACTGAACAAGTTCTAGTACAGTGTGTATCTATACAGTATAATCATTCCTTATAACCTTTCCTTTACTGTACTCTACCTTATTTATGCTCATGTACACCTTTTTTGCACAGTCAATTATGTGTCATCTTACTCCTTGGTCCATTTTAAGCATTAAATGATGTTCATCACAATTCTTAATAATACTCCAACCTTTGTCCTCGTTATCAGGTTCACCAATATCATTGATAGTCATTTAAGATGCGTCATAAGTGAAGATTTTTTATTTCATCTCTTTCAATAAGTACTTAAGAATGTTTCCTCTCTTATTGTCATAATTTTTTATTAATGGCTCTAACATTCACATCTTGTGTTTCATTTACAAGTAGTGTACAGGTACAGTATACTGTAGTACACTTATACTTTTGTCTCCTGAATCTTTAATTCCATTTCTTAACCATAAACTTATCGGTATTAAATTTTACGAGTATATTCAGCTTAACTCTCACTTTCCTGCTTGTTTCTTGTCATTTACCATTCCTCATTTTTTTCTTATCATTCACCACATTGATTTTAAAAGTTCCTTCTTTTTCAGGATTGTTGGAGTTAAGTGAAGATGGAATCCCAAGAGTGTGTTGTGTGTGGTGTTGGTCTGCTGAATGAAGATCCTCGGGTCCTTGTCCTCAGTGGCATCACTAAGTACACCGGTACACCTCTCAAAGAAGTTGTAGGATCTGCTCTTCAACAAAAACTTAAGACAACAGACTTTATATGTCAGAAGTGCTTTGAATTATTTAACGAAAAGGATAGGTTTCAGAAAATGACAACAGATGTGGATAGTCATATCATGACAAAAATAAAAGACTCCTCTAAGAAGACTGTTGATAATGAAGGTACTATATCAATTATTGTGGGATTAGAGTCTTTTACTAATGAAAATATTAAGGAAGAATTAGAGAGGCAATACAATAATATCAAGGATGAACTTAGTGATTCTAAACCTTTAACGCTGATGACAGAAGACAAGGTGGAGCCCCCTACCGTTGCTCCTAAAAGACGAAGAGGTAGGCCTCCCAAGGTCGCGAAGAGGAAAAAGTCTGAAGAAAGCATCTGTGAGCCGCCACCGTTAATGGTCAACCAACGAGAAAAACGAAAGCGTTCAACCAAGTTTAATACCTTCCTGGAAGTTCTTAAGGGTGAGAAAGATTTCTATATAGAGGATGAAGATGTGGAGGAACCTAAGACCAAAAAGAGGGGTGGTGGTAGGAAGAAAAAGACAGCAATCCTTGGTATTGTACCAGTTGAGGATAAACTCAAAGATGATGAGATGGATAAAATGTGTATTATTCAAGTGACAGACTTAGATGTACAAGACAGAGAGATACACGCCACAGAGAAGGATAGACTAGACTTAGATGAAGTTGTACAAGAAATTTTGGGAATCAATACTGTTCCAGAAACTGAGTTAATCCATGATATTGATAATTTAGGACATGATGGAGATCTAATTAATGCTATTGATGAAATGAACTCACACCACGAAGAAAGAACAGAAAACTATGATAATTTGAGAAAAATTGTTCCGTCGCAAGTCGGCAAATTGGAAATAAAGCAAGAAGAAATGGAAATTGATAACATTTGGTCTGACGTGAAGGCTGACATTAAACCAGTTTTTGGAGAGCTTAGTAAACCATCAATTGAAGTTGCAGAAATTGAAGAAGATTTAGCTGCTAGTATGCCTAGCCTTGAGGTTACCATTACCCATAGTGAAGACAATACTCTCCGTGCCGTGATTAATGACCCAGATGTCTTGAGTGCTATTGTACAAGAAGACTCAACAGATACTTTAGTAGCTGCTATTAAGCAAGAAGTGGGTTGTGACAATGTCATGTCTGATCAAAAGAAGTATCGATGTAAACTCTGCAGTGAAATATTTTTCTGTAAAGATAAAGCACGTAAACATGCTCAGGAGTGTCACTCGGAAATTGATTTGACAAAAATTTATAAAAATAATGTGGAAAGCTTTAAATGTAGTGATTGTGATAGAACATTTCCCACATTAAGGGGTCGTGATAGACACCACCTTCACATGCATCTCAAACACAAACCAGTTCAGTGCACAGAGTGCTTTCGAACATTCAATAGTTTTCGTCCACTTGAGCGTCACCTTCGTAATAATCATGATAAAGATCCCACTCTATTTTGTGAAATGTGTGAAGCAGAATTTGTATTGGGAACTTCTCTTGAGCACCATAAGGAAATAATGCATCCTGTGGCAAGCAGAAGCAAGCTAATCAAGGTTCCCACAGGTAGTAAAGTCCGGGAACAGGTAAAACCAAATAGGATGTTTGAGTGTCCCTTTTGTAATCAAGAAATCTATGGTGCAAGGGCTCTTAGACTTCATCACCAAAAAATGCATAATAGCCAAGAATACACATGCAAATACTGTAAATACAAGAGTGCTTGTCTTAGCACAATGCACCGCCACATGGTACGAGTTCATAAAGCTTTAAATCTAAAACTGTACTACTGCCTCAAGTGTATGGCAGGTTATCAAGATCCCAGAGACCTAGAGGAACATTACATTTCTGTTCATAAAACTGAGACTTCATTTCTCTGTCAGCACTGTGGAGAAAAGTTTGCCTGTATAGACATGCTTCGCTTTCACCGTAACAGTCATAGAGCTTTTTCTTGCAAGCTGTGTCATCTTGGGTTTATGAAGGAAGAAGCCTTGGAGGATCACATGAAGGCTGTTCACACATGTGATCCTGTTAGGAGTAATGAAAATGGTGACATAACTGGTCAGTCAGAAGGTAAGGGTGTTAATGAAAAATTAGCCCAGTTAGATGAAGATGCTGATGGAAATAGCAAGGTTGATTGTACTACAGCTGCTAGTTCTAAAGTATTAGTTATTGCTAGTGATGGCACAGTACAGGTTAAAGATGAAGGAAAGGAGGTCAGTGCCATTCCTACCACACCATCTGAAGACATTACACTTCATCTACAGCAAACTAGAGAAGGAGGATTAGAAGAAATGGATATGCTAAACCCCCTAAAGGGACAGAGAGTAAAAGATCTTCCAAAAAAGATGAATTGTCCTGTTTGCAACAAAGTTCTCACCACCAAGTTTTTGAAAACTCATATGCTAAGTCATAAAGGTAATCTACCACACAAATGCCATGTTTGTGACAAGGCATATGCTCAGGGGACATTGCTTAGAAAGCATATGAAGAACAGACATTATGAAGAATTTTTGAAGCTGGGCAACAAAAATCCTAAAAAACACAAAATTGGATGTGATTTTTGTCAAGAAATATATGACAACATATATGCTTTAGAAGAGCATCTGTGGTTACATATGGATGAAAAGACTTATGAATGTACAGATTGCAAAATCAAATTTGGTATGTCAAGCAACTTACGTGAACATTACAAAAGTCATTTCTTTAAGGAAGCTCAACCATGCCCAGTATGTAAAAGAGAATTCAAATCAATTGGTTATTTCAATGAACATGTTGAAAGGTGTCAAAAACGTTGGAAGTGTGAACAATGTGGTCTGGAATGTGATACTCAGGAATATTATCGAAAACACCAGCGATGTGAACACGGTGGAGAAAATGTTGTGAGGTATCAGTGCAATCTTTGTGAAAAGTCATTTGTGGAACGTTATTGCTATGATGACCATATGATTACCCACTCATCAGAAAAGGCATTTACCTGCCACATATGTCAGAAGCAATTTAAACGCAAAAGACCATTGAATGACCATTTGGTAAGAGCTCATTCAGATGGACAACCAGTGTGTAGCTATTGTCGCAAGACTTTCCCTACACAACAAGAATTAGATTTGCACAAAAGAAAGCATCGCAAAGAATTCCCTTGCATATCATGCAATCATGTGTACACTTCCAAGGAAGCTCTCACAAACCACTTGATGGTTCACCATTCTGAAGCTTCTCATTCATGTCAATTATGTGGTCAGTCCTTTGTTAAACAAGTTAATCTAAAGGGACATTTAATTACACATAATTCTAATACACCACACATTTGTCATGTAGATGACTGTCATAAAATGTTCCGGACAGAGACTTTATTACGGAACCATGTAGCTCGTCGTCATCACGAACTGCAATATGATTGTCCTATTTGTGATCGTAAATTTGGTTTAGAGTCTGATCAAATTCGACACATGGCAACACATTCGACTGGGGCTGCTCTACCTTGTGGAGAGTGTGATCGTACCTTCCGAAGTGAGGCACAATTAGTACGACACCTTCTAACACACACACAAGAGAAGCCTTATGAATGCGGAGTGTGTCAGCACACAGCAAATACGCGACATCAAATATTACGACATATACAAGGGGAGCACGGTCTTACTGATGCAGCTCCACACATTGTTGTTAATCGGTGGCGCTGCTCAGTGTGTGGTAAAATGTTTGTGGGACGAGGTTCATTGCTACGTCATCTACAAGACCATGCTACTCATGGTGTTCAGGCACAAGGTCATGCTGTTAAAACACGTTCAACGCCATCTACATTTTCAAAGTTTTCTCTTACATCTGGTATTATGGATCCTACTACAGCTACTAATTCATTCTTGGACCAGGTGTCTGGTCTTAGTTGGCAAGATCTTACTCCATTACTTCGTCTTCACGTTATGGCTGATGAAGAAACTGGTGAAGGGGAGACAGCAGCAGTGGCAGCTGATGTATGGCAGTGCCCTGGCTGTCTCCATGCAACACAGACAGAAGAAGATATGAGAGATCATCTGGTAGGAACCGCACAGTGTCAGGAAGCTGTCATCCTGCAGTTAGCTGGCGGACTGGTCAGTACTGATGATTTGGATGAAGATGGCAACACTGAAGAACAGCAGGTATTAGATGATGAGGGAAATGGAGCAGTTTTACAGTTGACTGGTAGTGATGGTGGCATGCAGTATGTCATTGTACAGGAGGGAGATGGTCACACACAGAGGTTAAGTGAAGGTGGTAAAGAGGGTCAGTCTGTGCAAGAAGGGGATGGAGGTATGCAAATGTTGGTCAGTATGGGTGATAGCTTTCAACACCTGCTTCAGCAACCAGCACATCCTGACATTCAAATAGTTGTGGAAGATTCAGCACCACTAAAGCAGCTATTTGTGGAAAATGGAGGTGAAGGGGAGCGTCCTACTACTACAGTCGGTGCCACTTCCACGAGTGAAGGCCATGATATTGTTCCTGCTGATACCCCATTACTGAATGGTTCTGAGGTGTTGTTACAGACTGCTGATGGGCAATTGGTTCTGCAACAAACAGTTGGAGGTGTGACCCAGTATCAGCTAGTTGAGGGAGTACCTACAGCTGGGGAAGAGGATTCATCTTCAGCACTTCTTCCTTCCCATCCTCCTACATTACATACAGAGTTTATGTTACCAGAGGATACATAATTCATGGTCTTTGTCAGTATTAGTGCTTTTGTTCAGGCCTTCTGTATGTGATGTTTCAATAAATATATTAAATATTTGTAAAATAATTGATAATTTCTATTGTACAGAAATTTACACTATTTAAGTAGATATTTAATTGAGCTTTAATTTATTTCAGTCAATAAAATTTTGTTGTTGCTAGTTTGGTTTTACTTCTTAATATAATGATTACATTATTTTACCTACCTTTCAAAATCTGTAAAATCAAGGAGCCCCAGACAGTTTTAACTCGAGACTAGGCAATACAGTATGCACAAGGTCTGTACAACTCTCAGGCTACCTTTCACTATTGCTGAATTAACTTTAATCTCATTCTAAAGTTGCAGTTCCTGGCCCTGATGATTATAAAAAGATAGCCTGTACTTGAAGTCACTTTTCACCTTATGAGGAATGCTTTATACCTCCTTTTACTTTCCTTTTTGCCATTGAATGACAATGTTACCCACTAGGGTGATTGGCTGCCTCCCGAAAGTTGGGAATGCTGTACAGATGCCATAACTACTTCACCCCTGAGCAGTTGCTTTAAGTATATAAGGGATTCATTCGTCCTAACTTGGAGTACTGCTCTCATGTCTGGGGTGACTCTTCTTCTGTCCAACTGTTAGATAGGGTGGAATCAAAGGCATTTCTCTTCGCCGCAATGTTGCTTCACTCTCTCTTGTATAGGTACTTTAACGGGTAATGTTCGGTGAATTTGGCATCCTGTGTACCGCCGGCAAGGCCGTAGGCTCGTAACACAAGTCTTGCCCGCGGTGCCCACCGTTTCTCTGTGGATGTCAGTCACACTAGAATAACCCGTTATAGTACATCCTTCTTTCCTCACACAGCCAAACTGTGGAATGCTCTGCCTTCTGAGTTTCCATACTCATACAATCTCTCTCACTTTAAAATGCTGGTTGTCCGGCATCTTCGTGGTGTAGATTAATATAAACTTTTCCTTTTCTATTTTTAATTTCTTTCTATTCTTATTTCTTCACACCCCAGGCCCCGTTGTGGGTCGTTGACCTGTGCCCGGGTGGGCTAATTCCTGTAAAAAAAAATACTGATTCCAGAATGTATCTGTACCTCAATGTTGGACAAGTCTTGAATGAGCTCACACTTCGTACCGTCACAAAACACTGACAGATTGTTCAAAGAATTCACAACTCTTGACTCCAAATAAGTTTGCCCTGCCAATTTTCTAAGCTTGTGGCTTCTTAATCAACCTTAACCTGTGACCTTTACTGGGGCGGCCATCCGTTGGTTCCAGGTATGAACACTCCACTGAATACGGGGGTTTTGACTTCTATTACCGGTAAGTCACCCTTTGCCAGCCTATAGTATAAGATAGGGAACTGTAGGCATTCTAAACAGTGAGGTGCTGTAGTGCAAGCACCCATTGAGAGTTTATTTTGTATGTTACTTTTCACAGTAACGTGAAAATATACGTTCAGTTACTGCAAGACTTAATGGCATACAATAAGCATTTAATGTGGTAATTACTAGTTCTTGAAAGCAATTTTTATTAAGCAACAAGTACAGTAGTACCACATTGGAAACACTGTTGGATCTGCTGGGTAACTTCCTGGCTCTAAGATTCTGGCATTCTGATGGCATAAGGACTTCTGGAAACGAACCTTTCATGACTTTGTCAAATATCCTTGATTAAATTGGCTGATTATAAATTATTTTTATTATTATTAATGTTTTGAAGTAGTTTGAGTTGCATGAGACAGAGCAGTTAGGGAGCTTCCCTATCCTTCCACTCTCGTACATGCACTTGCAAGTTGCAACGCTCCTCGTTCGCCACACTCATTACATGAGAAGATAATGAAAAAGAAAATCAGGCAGTTCTCACTAACCTTATCAGTGAATGGGAAAAGACTGTCAATGGCCTATTGAAACCCTCTTGGAAAGAGCAGCAAGGACCCATCCAGCCACTTCAGGCTGGGAAGGCTGTTGTACTGGGATTTTTCACCTAATTATTTGACAAATTAATAATAAAAAAAAAATATTTGACAAATCCCCCTAAATTTTTTGTCCACATACTACTACACAGACATGCTGCACAATTAAGTTTATAACATTTACCACACAGCATAAAGAGGTTAGAGTCTTGTGAAATGTGGTGTTATAGGTGTAAGTTTAAGAACACTGACAGGAAAATAAATAAAAAAAAGTAATAAGGTTGGCAAAAACTTCGAGAGAACTACTGCATTTGAAATGTACAGAAAGAAGAAGTGAGACTCTCTGGTCATATAATTAGGGATGGGGATAATAACAGAAATATTAATGGATAAAGTTGGTGGTAGGAGGGCCAAGGGAATGCAGAGACTAGGAGAGATGAGTTCAATTATAAACTGGGTCTCCAAAAACATGCAAAACCTTGTAGGATTGGTAAAATATAGCCCCAAATCGTTTAGAGTGGAGGACTGTGGTCGCCAACCCTCAGATATAAGTATGGATTGATTAAGATTTAAGGCACCATTTATCAGTTAATTAGCCGTTCAAGCGGTTGGCCCCTTCTTATGTTACTTTGTTAAGAACTTAATTTTCCAGTGTTAGTACAGGAGGAAACCTGTACATTAATTAGTATTGTCACTGGATATGCTTTTCCACCCGTGTTGCAACACCCATTAACATTGTGGGGAACAAGTGATTGTGATGTAGAGAGAGCTGGTTGGTGAGGATGCTCAGAGAAGGACAGCTTGTGGGTCGCCATGCTCGCCGGCGGGAGCGAGGGCCGCCAGGCAGCGGCGGAGGAGGAGGAGGTGTTGCTTGCTGGTTGGTGTAGGTAGGAAAGAGGCAGGTCACCACGAGGTCAGGTCTTTTATAGCGGAGGTAGGCGTGGGTAGATAGTTGACCTCCGCTCTGTGGGCGGCGCTGGTTGACCTAGACCACGAGGCATAAACTGGGGAATTCGCGGGGTCGGCTACTCGGCGACAAACAGCGTTTGTAGGGGAGAAATCCACTACAATGCTCCCTCCTTCCCTCCAGGCGGTGTAGGAGACTTGTTGTCTGCAGGGTTGCATGGCACATGTGAGGCAGAACGGGCGGTGCATGCCACATGTGAGCCATAACGGCGATGGTGTGGATGAGCCGGCCGCTAGAGGAGACAACTGTCTAGATACACAATATCTGTGGAAGTAGAGAGGGAGAAAAAGGGTGTGTGGAGGCGATGAATGTTGTGCTTCCCTCACGGCAGGTACAGAGTCGTCAGATGCGCCTGCTGGGGTGTGTGGGCCTGGGTCAGGAACAGGGGCTGCGTCAGCAGAAGCGGATGAGGGCTCGTGACAGCAGCTGGGTCCACGACAGCAGCAGGGTGCAGGACAGTAGCAGGGAGTACCTGAGGGAGAAAAGAGGGGTGTGTGGGTCCGCACTCAGGTGCATGGGCTGCGTCGGGAGCAGGGGCTGCATCAGGAGGAGCAGCAGGGGGTACTGCTGGGCCGGGGGCGGCGTCTGAGGCAGGACGGGTGTGCTGGGGTCGGTAGGACGTGGTGCTTGGGGCAAGAAGAGGAGCTGGTGTCTGCTTAGAGAAGCAGTGCTTCTCTAGAGTGTCTAACCTGCGGTGCAGAGACAGTAGCTGTAGAGCCAATGAGAGCTGCTTCTGGGTGGTAAACCAGTCTTCCATGTTGCTTGAAGACTGGGAGAGTGATCGGTTTCTCCTCCATCCTGTGTGAGTGCGAATCTCCGGGGGTCACCATTTGTGGGGAACAAGTGGTTGTGATGTAGAGAGAGCTGGTTGGTGAGGATGCTCAGAGAAGGACAGCTTGTGGGTCACCATGCTTGCCGGCGGGAGCAAGGGCCGCCAGGCAGCGGCGAATAAGAGGTGTTGCTTGCTGGTTGGTGTAGGTAGGAAAGAGGCAGGTCACCACGAGGTCAGGTCTTTTATAGCGGAGGTAGGCGTGGGTAGATAGTTGACCTCCGCTCCGTGGGCGGTGCTGGTTGACCCAGACCACGAGGCATACACTGGGGAATTCGCAGGGTCGGACAAACAGCGTTTGTAGGGGAGAAATCCACTACAACATTTCGAGCACGGATATACAGTATATGACTCGGTTAAATATATTTTAGGCTATGAGAAGTAATGTATTTTATAAAATCCGTTAACTCGGTTTATTAACGAGCCGATCTTTTGGTGAAGAGGATAAAAGAAAAGGAAAAGTAATCAGAGACGTGACCGATCGCCCAAGCGGCTAACGAGCCGATCAGTGTCATACCCAAATGTTTGTAAACAAACACATGACAGTGTAGTGGATTTCTCCCCTACAAATGCTGTTTGTCGCTGAGTAGCCAACCCCGCGAATTCCCCAGTGTATGCCTCGTGGTCTGGGTCAACCAGCGCCGCCATACATCACGGAGGTCAACTAATAAGCCACGCCTACCCCCGCTATTTAAGACCTGACCTCGTGGTGACCTCTCTCTTCTTCTAGCTACAGCCGCAGCAAGCAACACCTCCTCCTCCTCCTGCCTGGCAGCCCTCGCTCCCGCCGGCGAGCATGGCGACCCACAAGCTGGTCCTCCTCTGAGCACCCTCACCAACCAGCTCTCTCTACATCACACTTGTAACCACGCTGCCACTTCCCAGCACCAAGCTGCATTGTACATCCAATACAATATGTATACAGTGAGCACATCGTGATTTTTAAGTCTAGAACCAAACATCACGTACCCCACAAATGGTGACCCCGGAGTGACCACTCACACAGGATGGAGGAGAAACTGATCATTCTCCCAGTCTTCAAGCAACATGGAAGACTGGCTTATCCACCCAGAAGCAGCTCTCATCGGCTCTACAGCTACTGTCTCTACACCGCAGGTTAGACACCCTAGAGAAGCACTGCTTCTCTAAGCAGACACCAGCTCCTCTTCCTGCCCCAAGCACCACGTCCTACCGACCCCAACACACCCGTCCTGCCTCAGACGCCGCCCCCGGCCCAGCAGTACCCCCTGCCGCTCCTCCTGATGCAGCCCCTGCTCCCGACGCAGCCCATGCGCCTGAGTGCGGACCCACACACCCCTCTTTTCTCCCTCAGGTACTCCCTGCTACTGTCCTGCACCCTGCTGCTGTCGTGGACCCAGCTGCTGTCACGAGCCCTCATCCGCTTCTGCTGATGCAGCCCCTGCTCCTGACCCAGGCCCACACACCCCAGCAGGCGCATCTGACGACTCTGTACCTGCCGTGAGGGAAGCACAACATTCATCGCCTCCACACACCCTTTTTCTCCCTCTCTACTTCCACAGATATTGTGTATCTAGACAGTTGTCTCCTCTAGCGGCCGGCTCATCCACACCATCGCCGTTATGGCTCACATGTGGCATGCACCGCCCGTTCTGCCTCACATGTGCCATGCAACCCTGCAGACAACAAGTCTCCTACACCACCTGGAGGGAAGGAGGGAGCATTGTAGTGGATTTCTCCCAAACAAATGCTGTTTGTCGCTGATTAGCCGACCCCGCGAATTCCCCAGTGTATGCCTCGTGGTCTAGGTCAACCAGCGCCGCCTTACATGACGGAGGTCAACTATTAAGCCACGCCTACCTCCGCTATAAAAGACCTGACCTCGTGGTGACCTACCTCTCTTTCTAGCTACAGCACAGCAAGCAACACCTCCTCCTCCTCCTGCCTGGCGGCCCTCGCTCCCGCCGGCGAGCATGGCGACCCACAAGCTGGTCCTCCTCTGAGCACCCTCACCAACCAGCTCTCTCTACATCACGCTTGTAACCACGCTGCCTTCCCAGCACCAAGCTTCACTGTACATCCAATACAACATGTATACAGAGAGCACATCGTGAGTTTTGAGTCGAGAACCCAACAACCCATACCCCACAACAGCACTTCACTCGCATAATAATAAATATCACGTTATTAGTGATGGAAAATAGCTGATGCAGGTATGTATGTTTATTATAATACCAGTAAAAAATATATAACACATACAAGATAATTTGAATTAGGCGGTAGTTGCCCCAAGGACTAAATGGTTTACCCCACCATACATGTTGGTCGCCAGCTGAGTGAGGGAGTGCATGGTGTGCCACAAACTGGTTATTATACTGTATTGTATATAGCAGGTACTGAATCTTCTACAATGTAATAGTTAAGTTGGTAATTTTTTACTTTAGGACATAGAGTCTCTAGGGGTTGACCAATACGTGTTTCCAGTGTGTTTTAAGCGAATCTGACCATCATTTTTGTCGGAAATTACTCGTATTTGCCCTACCCCGACCCCCCAACAATAATGAGGGAGAGCTTGGGAAATCGGGGTTTTGGGTGGGGGAGAATACGAAAACGAGTCATCTAACCAAACCTAACCTAACCCCCGATAGGCTTAGCTTGATATTGCAGTTTACAGCAACCACAGAATTCCGGAAATTCACTATACTCAATCGGTTGGACTATTTTTTATATGATCGTTTTCTTATATTACATATCTATTGCAAATTTATAATAAGGAAGTTATTGAATTAAAAAAATATATAAAATCAGATCACCTGCTGCCCTCGTCGTCCACAGGTCACACTGGCCGCTGTTTCTCCAAAGAGGAAAATTTATTTCTTACCTTTCAACTATCAATAAAGGTGGAGGAATTACAACAATCCTATTTTTATGTTTCTACAGTATTTCTTATGGGAAAATTTGGCATGAATATTGTGCCTGCCACATTTAAGATTAAACTGTTAATGCACTCACCAGTGAGGGATCCTAATTCTGAGCAACCTTCCTAGTGAACTTTACATAAGAACTGTTAATAACAAAGTAACACCCTAATGAAATGGAGGCATTAATATCTATTAAACATTCGTGCTCATGTAAACAGTTAAAGTGTAAGCATGGCATTGTCAGGTGGCATGTAGCATTCAGTTCCTCCACTTGATTTGGGTTATTCTTTAGGTAAAAAATAACCAGGTTCGGTTAAATTTGGTAAAGTTGAGCTAGGTTAAGTTAAGTTAAATCATTTATCATCTACAGTAAAGTATTTGGGAATCATATATATAGTACATAATCATCTTAAATGTACCCAGATGATCTGATTCTAAATAAGAATTTTCAGTGTAGTGCTACATCAAGTGGAATTCAGTATTGTATATTTAGCTTTGCTGTACAGTATACACTGTATACTATACAGTACTGTAATGCTATACAGCACCTGTCTCTTCAGTGTGGAAAGCAAGAAACTACATTACAGTATTTTTCTTTTCAGGCAAAGTTGAAGTTGTAATGTGGGGAGAATTTGAAGGTGATGAAAATGAAAAGAAATCCGAAGAGCTTGATGCCTCAGCTTCACCAGAACTGTGTAGACAATCTGAGGATCCAGAGGTTGTGTTGTCCTTGCCTCCGCTGAGAGACCGTTTAATCCATTACATGGCAGCGAGTACTATCATCTTGAAGAGTCAACAAAGATATGAGCCAGACCTTACATATCAAGAAAGGAAGGATATAGTTCAAAAGCTTCTTGATCAGAAACCAGGGCAGTTTTTGTACAGGTTAGTGTGATGCAGTGCCATGACAATTAGGGTGCCCATTACATTTTTTAATATTAAATAACAATCGGAAGGGCTTTAAAATACAGTACTGTTCTGGTAGTCCCTGAGTTATCAACAGGTTATATTCCTGGACCTTGTTCATAGGTCAGAAGTATTAATTCTATATGTTAGGTTAGGTTAAAACACAACCCTGTCCATACAAAATAATATCTCGCATGTAACAAATAATTTAATTATCTGTAAATAGAATGATTTTAAACAATGTAAAGTACAGTATAGAAATTTTATTTTATTTTAAATACGTACAGATTTTTGTGATTAAATTGGGATCCATTTCGTAAGTATGGTACTACAGGCTTTCATAACTCAGGAAATGTCTGTGCTGTGCAGTGTTTAAGGCTATGAATTATAGTCTTTCCTGAAAAGTTCCTTTTGTGATTTGTGGTGTTCACAAATGGCTCATGAGATGTACAGATTACTAAATCCCCACAACAGAGCCACCTTGCCATACCTTGGGAATAGTGGTGCAGGTACAGCGATGATAGTTATTCTTTAACCACATTTGTCCCTTTCAGTTCTGAAAGAAGAAGGTGCTTATCAATCCCTTCAGCAGTAACAAGTTCAGTCTAAACCTAGAAGACTGATCCAAGTTATTATGGTTATTTTATTTTCTCTTGGTACTGTTTAATGGTAATGGTTAAAAAAGAAAGAAAGGGGGGCTCAGAGCTCTGTGATGTCATAAGAGTTCTCCTTGCCTTACAAGAAGTCCAAGGTTAGGTTAGGCTAGGATAGGTTAAACTGACTAGTATCAATGTAAAGAGTAAGGGAAATTGGCAAAAATAATATAATCAAAGTACAGTACTGTGCAGCACTGGTACTAAAGATGCCCACAGCTCTAAGGAATAAGAACATAAGAATGTAGGAAACTGCAGCGGGCCTATGTTTGAAGCTATTCAGCGTATTCGAGTTAATGATGATATTTGGTAACTTGTTCCATTCATCCACTACTCTGTTTCCAAACCAGTGTTTACCTATTTCACGCCTAAATCTAAATTTGTTTAATTTAAAACCATTGTTACGAGTTCGCTCCTGGTTAGATAGTTTGAGTACCTTTGTAATGTCCCCTTTGTTTAGCCCTGACTTCCACTTATACACCTCTATCAGGTCGCCCCTTGCTCTACGTCTCTCGAGGGAGTGCAATTTAAGATGCTTTAACCTGTCTCTATACTCAAGGTTCCTAATGCCCGGGATTAGTCTTGTCATTCTCCTCTGAATTCTTTCCAATGATTCTATATCCATTCTGTAATACGGTGACCAGAACTGAACTGCGTAATCCAGGTGTGGTCTCACAAGAGCAAGATACAGTTTTAGGACGACCTCGCTAGTCTTGTAACTAACACTCCTTTGTATGAACCCAAGTACTTTATTAGCCTTGTTACGAGCAAAAACACATTGTTTACTTGGCTTAAGGTTCCTACTTATCATTACTCCTAAATCTCTCTCGCAGTCGGATTTCTCTATGGCATCATTGTTCATCTGGTATCTGGTTTCCCTGTTTACATCTCCTATACTGAGTAGTTTACATTTGTCCACGTTGAATTTCATCTGCCATTTTTCAGACCATTCGAAAAATTTGTTTAGATCTTCCTGTAGTTTTGCGGAGTCCTCGTCAGATTTAACAACACGTCCTATTTTAGTGTCATCAGCAAATTTACTTATGTTGCTGTCTATGCCGATATCTATGTCGTTTATGTATATAATAAAAAATAATGGTCCAAGTACTGAGCCTTGGGGAACTCCACTTGTGACGTTGCTCCAATGTGACTTAGTGCCTTTAATGCTCACTTGCTGTTTCCTGTCCTGTAACCATGCCCTAATCCATTTAAGGATGTTACCTTTGATGCCATGAGCTTTTACCTTTCTAATTAGTCTTTCATGGGGGACTCTGTCGAAGGCTTTGCTAAAGTCGAGATATACCACATCATAATTGTGCCCCTCGTCCACCAATTCGAAAACTGATGAAAAGAATGTTAATAGATTAGTTAGACAAGAACGTCCACTTGTGAAGCCATGCTTGGAATCATTGATCAATCAATGCTTCTCCAGGTGATTTCGAATAGAGTTTGAAATGATTGCTTCCAGTAATTTGCCTACTATTGATGTTAGACTGATTGGGCGGTAGAGAGGATAGTGACCTATCCCCCTTCTTGAAAATCCTGTGTCTTATTGGACAACCACAAAGATCTATGGTTTGAGTTGCTAAGGCGGTGAGTAATTAGCATTAGAAAAGGAAATAATAATTATTGAGATGTTATTTGGTCAAGTAATTTTACAGATATCCAATTGCAGACAACAGATCCTTAATGGCTGGAGTCAACCTTTTCTTTCTCACCATCTCATAGAGTAAATATTGGCCAATAAGTTCTTATCCATTGTAATATAGTTGTCTTACATATTATAAAGACAGTATTTTTTGTATAAGTTGATAAATAAGAATTTATATATAACCATGAAATTCTTCACTGATAGACTGAGGTCTGACTTGTTCTTGGCAGCATGAGGTAACCTCCAGTACTACAGTACTGTACAGAGCTACAGCCAATCACCCATTACAGTTCTTTGGTTGAGAAGATGCAGGGGAATTTCTGGGGGAAATAAAAAAAAATCTTTTAAACTGGCAAATGAGGTCTAGCTACTATATATATACTGTACTGTATTTTTACATAACCCTTTTGATGATGCAAGGGTTGTGATTAGTGACGTGTGTGTGAGGGGTATTTTTTTATGTAATTTGTGTAATTTTGAGCTATTTTCTGTAATAGGTTTGGAAAGCAGTTAGAGAGAGAACATCTTCAATACTTCCTGAAATATGAAGGTGATGCAGAAGTAGACCATTATCTCACTGAAGCATTGAAGCATAAAAATGAGCACACCAAAAAGTAAGAATCACATTCATTTGTATATTTGAGTTTTTGTTGATATACCCCTAGTATATTCCATCAGACCCCTTGCCAGCAAAAAGGAGAGGGGTAACCCACCCTGCCTAAAGGGTAGCCCACCCTGCCCCTTTGTAAACTTTATACTAATTAGCATTTTAGCAAATAACAATTTAGTACTCACCTACAATCATGCATCCTCTTGTATATCTGTTAATTTATGTTAGGTTAGTCCATGCATAAGATGGATGAAGAGGCATTAGCTACATAAGGAAATTCAGTAAATAATATTTTTTACCCCAGAATCACAGTGCTGAACAGGAGATATTCTGCGCTACAGAAGCTCCGCCGTTCTGGAGATTACTTTAGTGAAAAAGAGATGGAACGCCGAAATCCACTTCTTTATGACCAACTTATTGGTAAACACCAAACAAGTGAAGAGAGAGAAGATAAATATAAAATAGATAAAAGTGATGTCAAGTAAGTGAATTAAATTTTTTGTTTCCCATTGTGACTTGCCTTTAGACCATCTTTCAACAGCATGTATTATTTCACTATGATGGATAGTTTGATATACTGTACTGTACATTAAATTAAAAACTTAATCTCCTGGTTGACAGATGGAAGATAAAGAAAATGTACCTCTCAGTGGGGGACTCAAGAAACTGGCTAGTGTAAACATCTCATACTTGACCCCGCGAGATATAAAAATTTTGCATGCTGCATTCAAAACTCTCTGAATTTCAGAATGTATGTCGCATTCCTCTGCCTATCATTCAATAATGTATGTTACAGTTATCAGGTTAACACTAATTTCTCAAATATTTAATTGTGAACCCAGATACTTAATCAGCACATAAAGTAGCAGCTCTGTGGATTAAAAGATAGTACAGTACAGAATACAGAAGAATGTGGAAACCAAATACGAGTCCATTACTTACCTAAGGCTAGCTGCCAGTCTCTCATGGGGCGGAAAAAGGATTCTCACCTCTATACCTAACCCCAACACTCGACTTATTTGACAATTTTACAAAAAGTAAATATAGTTGACAGGGTGTCTACTGGTCTGGAAAACTTGGAAAAGGCAGGGAATTTTACAAATTAACCTGGAATTTTATGTGAATTCAGTTCAACTTCAAAATATTTTTATTTTGACAGCAATATTACCATAAATTAATGATGTACTGTATAATAAGTAAATAATTAAACTTTTAGGAATAAAATTACAGAAAATAACTGAATTGTTTGTGTGCCTATTATATTTCATGTTAGTGATCAAATAACCAAATATTGTCAAAGATGAATTGTTCTTATAATTAAGTTACTTTTTTAAGTGGAGTATTCCACATATTAATCATGGGTCACGACCTGCATGTGCTGCTTGTGAGTGGCTATTTATGCCATGATTTAGCCTTCTCAGATATTTTCTAATTTATCTACAGATTTTCTACCATCCTTCTGGCACACATTGATAACTGTCTTGACAATGACTTAAAAAAGCAACAAGAAGACCAAGAATATGAAGTAATAGAAGAAGAGGAAACTGATCATGAGGAAGAAGAAATGGATAATCCAGTGGAATCAGGAGAGAAGCGATTGTTTAAGGAAGAATTCTACTCCGTAGGATATTACAATTTTTTGAGAGGGAACGATGAAGACTTCGACTATGGGTAAGTCCCTATCCTCGTGTATATGTTACAGTGTATTGAACACAATGATTTTGTCAGATCTTTAGCACAATAGATAGTTTTTGCTTCACAAACAAATGGGAAGGGTTTGATTCCTAACCTTAGTGTAGGGTAGGATTTCCTCCTTTCACAATAGCCTTGTGCAAACCACAAGAAAAGAAATTCAGTATCAAGTGCACTTACCAATGGTGGAATCTTTCAGTGGACTTGCATTCTCTCAAGGAGATAAGAATCAGGAAACCAGAATCTCTCTGTGTACCATGCAAGAAAATGCTAAAATGTGTGGAAAAAACAAAGTTTAAGTATACAGGTTACATGAAATCTAGGAGACTAATGAATCATGTACCTTAAATCATTAGTGCATAACTCAACCATCCCAGTATGCAGCACCACACCCTTATTCCAGCATTGAGTCAGATCAATACAGTACAATACAGCATGTCATTTATCTGCCAGTCAGTTTAAGGGTTTGCATTTACAGTATTCTTAATTTCATACATTCACCACTCATTAATTAGTGAACACTTCTCCGTTAATTTGTCATTTACTACCTGCATATTTGTCTTTCAGACTACAGTACAGTACTTGTCCTGTTGGAGTAATAAGTCACCATGTATGAATAGAGAACACATAATATATAAATAGAATTACCAGACACAGTTAAATAAATGTAAAAAAAATAATTTAATACTTAGTTTCCTTTAGTTTGAATGTAGGAATTATTTAGTGTATATTTATATATACAGTCAGTCCTTGACTTACGGCAGGGTTAGGGACCGACGACTAGGTCGTAAGTCGAAAATGCGAAAATAATACATAGAAAATCTAAAATGAAATACGGTACAGTAAAAGTAATCAATAATGAAAAATGAATAAAGTGTTACTGTGCACTTACCGGTACCTTTAATGTAGTCAGCTGAATGCACACGGGGCCTCAATAATTTTTTAATTAAACATGGAGACTACATTAATTGGATGAAGCAGAGGAGGAGACAGGGCTGGGTGGGTTATCAATTTCACTTTCTTCAGACAGGCTAACATACTTGCTTGTTGAAGGTATTGGATCATCTTTAGGGAGTGAAGAGGCAGCAGTGGTGGGGCGTGAGGAGACAGCTGTGGGGGATTTCTTAAAATATATGTCCAATTTAGACTGCACAGTTTGCTTTTTTTTTCATTGTAAATCTCCCTGTAGCAACCAAGTGCATCTTGGATCTGTCTGTCAACTTTTGCAAAACGCTCAACATTTTGATCCATTTCTTCAAATATTTGCATCCCCTTATTAATCGTAGCAAATGCCTCTGCCTTGTCCTTCAAAATTTTTGATATCGTCGCGTAAGAGAAGCCAAGGTCGCGTGAAATGGTTGCTACCGTTTTTCCATTTCCATATTGCATTATTATTTTCATTTTCATCTCAAAAGTAATTGACTGTCTCCTTTTCTTATCAGCACCACGAGAACTCTCACTTTTACGCTTGCCAGTCACTTTAAAGGGAATTAGAAACGAAAATTTTGTCAGTACACAGAGCGATTACTAACACCAACGACAGCCAAGCACCAACTGAGCAGGCTATGGCGTGGATGCTGTACACCATGAGGCAGCCCAGCCCACGCCACGCTGTCGTACGGGACAGAAACGTTTCAGTACTAGAAAATACGTACCTACGTAATTTGAAATTTTATACGACTGTGGCGGTCGTATGTCCGGGTGATCGAAAGTCAAGTACAGTAGGTCGTAAGTCGAGGAGTACACACACACACACACACATATATATATATATATATATATATATATATATATATATATATATATATATATATATATATATATATATATATATATATATATATATATATATATATATATATATATTACCATAGCTATATACATGTATACAGTATTTATATTCCCTTGTGAACTGTGTGAAAAAGCACCCTCTGTGAATGCAGTGCTTTGTAGTGAATAAGACAGAATAACCAGCTAAATAAAAATACCATAACCCAAATTGAGTAACAATTACAAATTTATTGGATCAGACACTGAGCTGAGAATTACTCATTTTTAAGAAGGTTTGAAGAAATAATCTACATATTATATTATATGGGTTATGTTTACAGTTCTGAAGAAATAATCTGAATCTTACATTTTCAGACAAATTGACACCAATGATGCTTATGACCCTTTAGACATCCATGCAAGAGATGAGGAAGAGAGATATTTTGATGATGATGATGAGGAGGAGAATGAAAACCCCTGCAATTTAGGGATGGATTGCAATGGTAGTGATAATGTTGATTTTGATATGCATGATGATGATGTACAAGAAAACTATGTAATGCAAGAAGACACTTCTAGTGGAATATCTAAAAATCATACTGTTGAAGTTCATACAAATGACAAAATAAATACTACCAATAAAATTCATAATAGGACTCCAGGGCAAGATTCTTTTGACCATTCTTTGATGGATATTACCGACACAGACTCTGTCTCCAAAACTTGACACACTGAGGAACATTGGTGATAAGAAACTTGACACACTGAGGAACATTGGTGATAAGAAACTTGACACACTGAGGAACATTGGTGATATGATACTGTAGTCATAAGTTTAAAAGTTTCACATATTGAATATTATCTGTGTTTTCCAGTGAGGGCAAAATAAAGAGAATCATACAGAAGGAATGTAATACTGTACATATTAGTGGATTTGATAGGCTGATCATTGCAAAGTTCACATTCCAGAGACAATATCTAGATGTTTTACTTTCACTTTGTTTAGGGTTCTGCAATCCAAGTTTGGTGGATAGATCCCAGAGTTAAATAGGGAAGCTACATTAATGTACATACAGAATAGGATTTCCTTTTTGTTGTATACATTATTGGTTACAATAAATTGTGAATGTCAAGTATGAACTTTGTTCCTTTACCAGGTGAAGGAACAAAGTTCATCAGTACCTGGTAAAGTAGTTCTACACCCAGTATAAATGGTCCTAACGAAAATATACGTCACGTACAAACCTGATTCTTCTTTCATTCAAATGTGGCCTACAGTACAGAAAGAACCTGGCATTTACCATGGGGCCTCAATACAGTTTTCTCTCAAGATAATGAGTTTCTATTATGGTTCCCAGATATTTAATAAATTTTTTACATGTACAGAATATTAATTCTGAGGCCAGTATGATAATATAGTCATTGTTTGGCATATTTAATCCCACACAAATGTAGATACAGTGGGGTATGCTATAACGAATCTAATTGGTTTTAGAACCTTGTTCGTTATAGCATTCGTTCGTTATAGGATTAATCCGTTCCAGGCCCCCAAATACAACCACTTAACACTGAAAAATATAATATAAAATTGTAAAAATTGTAAAAAAGTGCATAAATATGCATCTACAGTAAACCCCTGAAATAAAGAATATCATTAATATTTGTAATAAAAAAACAATAAATTAGAAAAAAAAAAAAATTAAATAATGTTCGTTGTAGGAGTTTCGTTCGTTATAGCATTCTCAATTTTATAGGTAAAACCGTTCGTTATAGGAATATTCGTAGTAGGATCCGTTCGTTATAGCATACCCCACTGTATTCGATATACTGTACTGTAAGTACCTGTAATTGATGATGAATGAAACATAATATTGAATCACAAAAATTATCTGCATGCCTTTTATTATATCAAGAAAAAATGGTATCCCCCTGTACATAAATTCAAAATTTTAATTCAAACACTCCAGGGAAAATATGGAGATTGAAATAGTTTGGCAAGTATAAAATGTTAAAATGAACTTGTTACATTCACACAACCTTATGCCACTCTTATCTATCTACTGTACTAACAAATCATGACTGCTAATTTAAAACTTAATACTTTATAAAAATCAAACATCACATTATCAATATTCAGAGAATTCACATTGATTAACTGGGTACATCATGCAGTTGACATACAGTAGAGAATTAAATGGAGAATATAAATCCAGTGAGACTTGGTAACTCGCATAAGTAACAGCTGCTATTTTAATAAAACCCTTGTCCAACACTGCAGCTGAGCTCATCCTGTGTTACAAAATATATTCTATGTTAGAACACCCGAGTTAAGACACTATTGTGACCACACAAATGGGGCTGTTATACACTTCTCATTCACATAAGCACTCAACACACAAACTTATACTGTACAGGTATACTTAAACTTATGAGCACAGACAGCTCATTTACTCCTTTAGTGTGACATTCAATTCACTTTCAGTTTCAATAGTTTATTCCTTGATAGAGGAACTGGGATCCTAGTGCTGTCGCTAGGTACCACTGTATAATAATACCAGAAACATCTGGCAAGTGTCACAAGTACATATAAATATTACAAAGGGGCTTACTAAAGCCTAAGGAAGGAAGGATATTCCTTCAACACTTCATCAATATTGTTTACATAAAATCTGGCCAGTATGGGGAGGATCATCGTGTCTCCGTCAGGGGATCGTGGAGTGGTGGTCCAGCAAGAGTTACGGAAGCGTTGTGTGTGGGGACATCCTAGGAGGTAGTGGACAAGGGTGCAGCTGTCGGGTCTTTTGCATAATGCACAAAAGTGTTGCTCAGGGGAGGCGGGGATATCAACCTCTCAAGCAAAGTCATACCCAATGATACGGACAGCAATTGCGTCCCTTTTCCGCGACCCTTTCCCATAGATGTACGAGAGGTCAAGAAAATTCCGGAGGACATCGTACCAGGTGGGCGGGGAGTCCAGGGGGATGGCTGCTTCCCGAGCTTCTCTCTGTTTGCGGCGAATTTGGGTCCTAAGTTGTAAAAGTGTTTGAGGAACAACGTAGTCTTGGCAAGGCCATCTGCTGCCTCGTTCCCCAAGATACTGACATGACTGGGTATCCATAGGAATGTCACAGGTCGTCCTACATCTTGAAGTGTTGATGTTAACCCTCATATTCGGAGGATGAGATCCTTATTCTCCCCTGATCCAAATGCGATCCTGTCGAGAGCAGGGGAGTTGGCACCACAGGGGCCCTCTCAAGGGCGCCGGCACACCCAGGCACACTACCTAGGGGCAGTGGCACCGCCGGGGGCGCTGCCAGGGGCGGTGGCACCCCCAAAGGCACTCCCAGGGTCCGTGGCTCCCCCAGGGGCCATGTCAGGGGCGGTTGCATCCGCAGGGGCTCTCCTAGGGGCAGCAGTGTCCCAGGAGCTTTGACAGGGGTCCTGCAAGGGGAAATGATGCTTCCAGGGGCCCTTCTGGGGGCGGTGACACTCAGGGATCCTCTCAGGGGCGGTGGCACCCACAGGGACACTACCAAGGGCGTTGGCATCCCCAGGGGCCATCTCAAGGGTGCCAGTTCCCCCAGGGACCCTACCAGGGGCGCCGGCACCCCCAATGGCCCTCCAACGGGCGAGTGCACCCACAGGGGCCCTCTCAAGGCCTGTGGCGCACCCAGGGGCAATGGCATCCCAAGGCGCCCTCTCAAGGGAGCCGGTCCCCTCAGGGGCCCTTCCAGGGGCGGTGGCACCCGTAGGGGTCCTGCCAGGGGTGGTGGCACCCTTAGAGGTCCTGTCAGAGGCAGTGGCACTCCCAGGGGCCCTGCCTGGGGCGATGGCGCACCCAGGGGCGGTGGCACTCTCAGGGGCCCTACTAGAGGCGGTGGCGCCCTTAGAGACCCTCCTATGGGCAGCAGTGCTCCCAGGGGCGGTGACACCCTCAGGAGCCCTTTTAGGGACGGTGACACCCCCCAGAGGCCCTAACAGGGGTGGTGGCACCCCAGGGGCGCTACCAGGGGCCTTGGCTACCCCAGGCAGGGCTGGATTTTCAAGGGGTCACAGTGGGCAGTGCTCAGGGCTTACGAAGGTTTAAAGGGCCTACGAAAGTTGAAACATAATGTGGGTATTTTCACTGTGGTATGGCCTATTAACTTTTATGTTCCAACAGGGTAAATTAAAATAATCAATAAATTTGACAAGAGAGAAATAGATTGCAGTCAGAAGACTGTCAAACACCCGCCCCACAGGCTGTTGTGCGCCTCAGAGCTGCCATCCTCCAGCGCAGCTAACGTAAGTAAACTAATCACTGAATAGTCTGGATAATATCTTATAATCTTGCACTTAGGAAAGGACTTGAACATTATTAAGTGTGTTGCATTGTGCGCTTGCTTCTGACTAACTGTATTTTGTCTTGAATGACGATTTTACTGATTACATAATACCCATCTATCAGTCATATTGAAACTTGGCAGGTGTGTTGGCCGAGGACAAACTGTTTTAATTGTGGAGAAAGATGGTTAAACGTTAAGGTAAGGTCAAGGTCACGTCCAAGCTTAAAGTTCGGCGCAGTGGGGCTAAAATGAAATTAGTTCTGCGCAACACGTTTTATGCAATAAAAAGGGGGCCAACGTCACTGGAAACGTTCAAATTTATACTCAATGTGGTCTAAACGGCGTGTTTTGTCTTGTTGTGTTATGGCGTATCCTAGTGCATTATACAGCACGTACTGGTAAGCTAAGTTCAAGTACGTCTCGGTGCTTCGAGGTGCGTCTGAGGGCATTCTGCTGTCCTCTTGTGCCAAGTTGCTTCCCGTTGTCTTAAGGTGTTCGGGGAGAAGCAACGTCGACCCGGCCACCAGAGCACCATGACCCTGAAATCTAGGATCAATGGACCAGCTGCAGTGTGGTGGTGCGGTGCGGTGCCCTTCCACACTCCTACACTGATTCAGTTAGTGACACACCGACGCTCCCACGCTCACATACTGAAACTCACACATTGATGTTCACACACTGATACACCCATACACACTGAAGCTCTCACACGTATAATGACGATCACACGCACACACACACACACACACACTGTTATCTGACCCTAATTGGCAGTGGCAAATTATGGGACTTTTGGATCTCAGACTAAAGCTTTTACGGTCTTCCAATTATGAACCAGGAGCCAAAAGATTTTATTAAGGCCAATAGTACCTAATATAAGATATGTTTAGTAGTTAAGAATGGAACGATCATTTAAATTATAAGCTGTTGATCTAATCTTATTATTTCTTGTCCGTTTAAATACATATAAGATTGTCTTTTTACTAATATTGTATTACTTGTATTAATGTTAGCTAAGACATAGCCTAGTTTTTATCATCAACTCTCTATAATAAGTTTTATTCAACAGTGAACTGAAATGTTACTTAATCTATTATGCTAGACCTTTTGTTTTATTTGTCTTTAAGTAAGTTTTCCACTGTCCAAGCTGACTACTGTCATAGTTTTTGTCGCTTTTCATTATATAAATTAGACTTTTTTGTCAGTACTTGCCAACAGTGCGTAACAGAGACGTGACCGATCGCCCAAGCGGTTAACGAGCCGATCAGTGGTGAGGAGGATAAAGTATGGCTGGAGAGCGACGTCACTACCTTCTTGTCCACAGTCTTGAGAAAGTAAAGAAAAGTTCTTTAGATAGGTTGAGTTCGGGCCGAAAATTAGAAATGCCTACATAAAATGAAAGAATAACTCTTATTTTACAAGAGTACAGTATATGTTTTAGATTCCTTGTTTGTTTATATACTAGTGACGTAAACGACTAACGAGCACCTGTCGTTGTTTGTGTGGTGAACTCGGGAAGTAGATGAATAGCTGAATAGGCCAATTAGTGGCTAAATATGCATTACGGAACGAATCTCTGGAGTGGAAGGCTTTGGTCACCAACGACTTCATTGATTTGATATGAGTATCTATTATATTTTTGTGCTTATTATTGCAGTCAGTGCCGAAACAAGCGTAATGAAGTGTGCGAATCTGTTCCTAAGCATGTAATAAAAATATGATTTTGCTAATAAATTAATACTGCATTCGAAAAGGATTAAGAAGTTTGACAAAATTTCCAGAACTCTTGGGAAAATCCTTGAGTCACTTCCTCGATCCTATAGTACTTACTATATGTAATCCTTATAATCTACTTTGTATAATATAAAATTAAGTAAATTAATACATTAAATATTATCATTATAAAAAGAACTAATTTCTAAAGATTATTTGAAGTAATAAATGAGTTAATAATGGCAGGAAAAATAGTAACTGTAGCCATTGATATGTACCGTAATGTTGTGACGTCACGGCCACCTAGCGGCGAGGGAGGGAGGTGAGAGGCGACCATCAACACTCAGTGACTCCTCTAATATATTTTACCCTAGACACGTTCCTTGAAGCAGCAGGTAAGGTCTAACGCTATTGTAAAGGTAATAAGTGGTGGTGGAGTATGTGTAGCATGTTAACCGTTGTGTAGTGCACTATTAACTTGTCAAGGATAATGACAAATATCACTCAGTTCTATAGGAAAATATTGGTGTTCAGGGATACTTAACCTTGCTTAATATAAAGTGTACCTAAATATTCCTCCACAGTTGCTGACATCTATAATGGTGTGTTTATTTTTTGCAATAGAACGGTAGTTTATTAAGATAATGTAATTGTTTTGTTTATGACCTGATGGCTATTAAGTGAAATTGGTGACCACATTGACTCAGCATTACATAGACACAGTGCTTACAGGTATATATTAACCACCAGTAAGTCGATTTGACCACGGAAGTCACTAATAGATTAATTCCATTGAGGTTATGTTGGGTGTGCGGGATGGTAATACTCGGGAGCGATGACTTTAGAAAAAAAAGTGGAGGAGGCAATTAGCACCAGAAATAACTTATGGATTTGAACCCAAATTTCTGGAGACACTATAATGAACACGAAAATGGAAGTAAGAATGCTCACACTTCTAGGACCTAACCTAACCTGGTGTTATTGTTGTTTCGGTCATCCAGCTACCACCGTCCGAGAGAGGTTTACATTAGGTTAGGTTAGGTTGAAATTGTGTCGTCCGATGGTTTATGATGTCTTAAATGATTTTGACCAACTAACAAATAGGTGGATGACTGAAATGTTAATTTTACCCATAAGTTGCCTTACTTCCGAGGCTGTGCATTGTCATTTTGATATTCTTACCATCATCCAAACAACATCTCTAGAAAAAATTAACGAATTCAGTCCAATATAAATCGTAAAAATACGCCCAAGGAGATCGTCATTTGGGGTAATTTTAGATCAAGAAAAACCTTCAATCGTGGCCCAGAGCACCGAAAGGGTAAAGCTTATGATAATTTCGGTGTGGTAGCACCACGACTGAGACGTGTTCCAGAAAATTCTCCAACAATTTATCTGATTTCTTACCAACATCATACAAACTGTACAGTAGCTATGTTAATTTTGCATCCTGAATGCCTGTCAGCACTGCTGTAAAATTATTTTGATATTTTCTGTTTCTTAACTTAAATATCATATCCACCTGTATACTGGGCTTGAGGAGTACTGTACTGTATATACAGCACCAATGGTTTCAGGTGAGAAAATAAATTATTGCATGGAAGTAGAGGACCGGCTTTTAGGGAATTTGAAAGAGGATTACAGTTCTTTTAATTTTTCATCAAAAATAATAAAGCATACCTTTTCTTATTACCACCAGATGCAGAAGTGTCTACTGTACAGTATTTTACTTTCTTTCTCATTTTACTCGGTACTAAAATGTACATCAAAATATCTGGTCCCAATACAAAATACCCACCACAGTACACTGTTAACATAACCAGCTGTGACCATGACTCGAGTAAAACTAACAGTAAAACAAAAAGGGCATCAGCAAGCACATAGTGGTGGGCAGGTCCAGCATGGGTGCTGGGTATGTTTATATAACAAATTACAATATACAGTACAATCAAGAACTTGCGGAACTTCCACAAGAATGGATGGATATTCTTATATAAGATCAGTCGTAAAACTGTGGCATATTAATCCCCTGACCCCAACCCCCTACCTCCGATTCCCACGACCCTCCCTAATCCACCCCCATGACTCCCCATCCCGCTGATCACCTGACCCGCCGTTAAATGCCACCGATGGGTCATGTGAAATCACATGATTCCTGATAACTCTCGGGATCACGTCTCATCTTTCTGTAACTTTAGGGTACGTTTACATAAAATTTTAGGTTCCAAACTGGTATTTTATCGTTAATGGGATTTATTTAGGGTTCACGAATGAAAAAGTTGCCCTGTACAGTATTAACAAAGCTGTATTGTTCTCTGAAAAATCTGCTTGGTTACTGTTCACCAGCAATTCAGATTTTCATGAGATCTTTTAAATTTGACTTAAAGTACTGTGCATATTTCTGTTGCTATCAATTTTTTTGAGTAAGCTTAATAACTGAAAAAATTTACAAAAGTGTTAAACATTTATTTTAATCAAATTAACAGTTATAGGGTACAGTATATATAATTACAGTATGCCCTGACTTGTAAGCCTGCCACCTGTCTCTGGTAGAATGCAGTGGACCAGACACCCGGTGGACCAGGTGACAAATATATATTCCACAAAGCTCCAGTGAGTCGCACCATATTTGATTGCATGTGTGTGACATTAGCAATTGTAGGCTTATGTGTCGAGTACGATAAGAAACAACTCGCATTTGAATGCAGGTATGAATTTTAATTTTGTGAGCACTGCACTGACGTAGGATGGACCAGGATCACAAAAGGAGCGTACAGTACAGCAGCAATGAGAAATTAACTGGCAGCATCATGGAATGGAAACTGTAGTAGATAAAATAAAGGTGTCTTGATGAACTGTATAAATCGAACAACCTAGAAACATGTGTTTGGAGAGGTGGATTAAGTTTTTAGGGAATGAGGTCTCCAAAATTATAGACACATTGATGCAACATACAGTACAGTACAGTACAGTAGTATAATATGAACCAATGAGTTTTAAAGACTGTTTGGAATGAACACTGCCCCTGCAGTATTTTAAAGCACTTATGATGTCCAATAACTGAATCGACTAAAATCACAAATATTTGGGCTAAATAAGTGAAATCTCGCTAAATTAGCTTTAAACCGTTACTCGCGATAAACATGGCTTTCCGTTTAGGCTGTAACTACTGCATGGTCACATTTCAACCAATCGCGTAAGCGATAACCACGCACGCGAGACCCTCGTAAAATGATCCCCACTGTACAATATAAAACAAGATGACCCTCCATGTGTCATGCTAAATAAGGCAAGGCAGGTGAGTGTCTTGCTCAGCTTCTGGGAATTTACCCAGAAGATTTTTGGGTATTTCTGCTTGGTGAATGTTGCACTTACACACTATTAGTGCACTTACACACTATTAGTGCACTTGCACTACAATATACAGTGCAATAGTGTCACAGTATTCACAGCACTGTGCTTTATAGTAATCACAGCATGCTATCGCAGCACAGTCAGTGTGCAGCTTTAACAACACAGTACTGTACACACCATGTGTAGTTACATAATGTTTCAAAGCAATATTCCTTTAACTCTTTACAAATATAACTACAATATACTTTACTAACATTATGTGCCTTATATTGTATAGTACGTCCTGTATGTGTTGGTGTAGTTTTGGATGTTCAGATGAGGGGGGGACCCATAACTCAAAAGCAATTTTTAACCTTTTTATAGGCTTATTAAGAAATTAGATGGTTAGCTTATTCAAGGTCCATTAATTTGGTACCCAGTTAATAAAAACAATTCTTACTAGAGCAGACTTTTAGGAAGATATCTAGTCAGAATATTAGAGGCTAGTTCTCCAATGGGTGCCTAGAAGTGGGTGAATTGGTTTTTCAGCTGTGAAATTTTATTAATTCCTTGGGAATTATCCATATTCCCTAGCCCTTGAAAAAAGTGTCAGGTACTATAGTTGGAATGAGTGTTGGCGGGAAAGTTTTTATAGCTCCATTAGTGAAGTTTGATAGTTAGTGATAAATTAGTCCAGAGATGACATTCAGGAACAGGTTGGTCCAGTTCCATTCAAAACTGAATCTGGCAGTAGATACAGTACAGTATTAAACACTAGGTTGTTCAGTAGTAGCAGTCCTATTTCTCACACACAAGGTCTAAGTTTAAGCCTTGATGGGAGTTAAGCATTAAGGATATTCTTCTTTACTGTGGACATCACATAAGTGGAGCTTGTTTATTTGTGTTGGATGTTAATAAAAAATTATGGTTGGTTTGTATTGGTGTCACTAGGTAATGCCAAGATAACGTGGCTCTAATTATACCTCTTATTTGTAGGGGGGCAGCCTCTGCTTCTGATCTCTTGCTTTTGGTGGTGATGGTTGTACAGTAATGGGTTGTCAAAGGGAGCGAGGTATGATGTCTTCTTCCCAGAATTAACCCGTACTGTAGTAACAGCTGCCTGTTCATGAAATTTGATAGAAAATAGGTTTTGGGGGTCACTTGCATTTAGCAGCCATTTTTTCTCATAGAATTCCAATAAACTGTACAGGCACTATTAGCAATGTGCGTTGCTATGCATTACAATAATACTAGTTAGAATCGCAGGATGTACAATATTATGGTGGCTAGATTGACTTGGTGTAATTCTAAATACTGTTATTTGTGCCTTTTCTTTTTAGGTACAGTACTGTACAATAAGTGCTGTATATGCATACGTTTTGATTAAACTGTACTCTAGAAATTTATTATATTTTATATTATGCTCTAGAGATGATTCTTCCCCCAGGATGTCTGCCCCCTATCCTGTAGACCCAAATAAATCCAGTGGTGGTCTAGCTGGGTGGACCATGCCAAATGCACCACCTCCAAACACAGGCTACCCTACCCAGCCTGGCTATGCTGCTCCTCCAAACTATTCTTCTCAGCCAGCTACAGCATTTCCACCCTATCCACCTCCACCTTATTCTACCCAGCCTGGGTTTGCTGGCCAGCCAGGTGCTTATGTGAGTACAGTATACAGTATTGTATTACACTACATTTACATATGTATATTGATTTGTTTACTTTGATAATTTTTTATATGAATATTTTCAATAGATTGTTTTAAAAAGGATTTGTTGTGTTGAGGGGAGGGGGGGTGTAAATGTATGATGTGAAATGTGCAAAATTATTACATTTATAGCCAGCCACTTGTTGAAGTAGACTCGTGTATTTACTCATTAATTATTTGGGTTGCCATTGAAGCTAACTCCTAATATTGACAGCTGACACAATTGAATAAGTACTACAGTCCTCATGTTGGAATCCTAGCCCACAGAGAAGGGTGTGAGAGGCAAAAATTTGGCACTCAAGGCTGAGAGAACTAAGTTATTGTAGGTGATACAGCAGCTTTCACATGTAGACCTTCCCTTGTTTGTTGTCAGCTTTGTTGGATTTCCAGTTCCAAAATCCAATTCTCTCGTCTCTCTCTTGAAGTCCTTACACATACCCTGTAATTTATAGCACATGCGAGTTCTGTAAGTTGACCCTATTCTGGAAGACATAACTCATAGATTTTGCACCACAGTGGCTTTTCTTCTCTTAGGGCATTAGCTTGTGTTGAGATCTACAAGAATGTTCTTCACATTCCAGGGGTACGTCTGTCAGGTAACACAAACCGGCAGCATAACCCATCATTAGTGTGTCCTTCCCCAATAATCATTCGACAACATGCTCTCCATTCTTTCATGCCCTCTTCTGCATCACCTCAAGTGTATCATTCACCCCAGTCTTTCATTTCTTTCTTAATCATCCTCTTTCCCTCCTATCATCCATTAATCTTTCTCTTCACATTCTCTCTTTGTCTGTACTGTACCATCTGATTTGACCTAGACCTATTTGCTGCCAAACACTACTCTCAGTTCAACTCTTTATTTCTGTTGTCTTATTCTCAGCTCTTAAGCATGTCATACCTGTTGTACGTTATTTGCACCTTCTTCTTACTTTAAAATGTGCTTTACGCTATTACAGTTTATATAATGTTGAGTCGACTGTTCCCCCGTACATCACCATCAGTGTGTCTTATTCTTAAGGTTTTCAATCTTGATGCATATCTCAATATATCTATTACTTTCTCTCCTTCCTTGGTTCATCATTCCATTTATTGTCATTCATTCCCAAATATCTGAAACGGTCCACTTCTTTCATTCTGTCTCCATCCACAATCGACTGTCAAACTCACAGAAACTCACTAACATAAATTTTTTTTTTATCTGAATTGCCCACAGGAGCTCAGCTGTCATTTATATATATATATATATATATATATATATATATATATATATATATATATATATATATATATATATATATATATATATATATATATATATATATATATATATATATATATATATATGCAGTAAAAGTACTTTTACTCCTTTTCCTTACTTTATTCTTTTATTTCTCTCATGTTGGTGTAACAGCTACAGGCAGGTCAACCAATGCCTAGGATGTATCCCCAAGGAGGCACTTACATTAGGCAGCCTCAGGTGGGTGGGTTGCAGCAACATTGGGGAGGGGCACAGATGCCTCGTTTCTCAGTAAACGGAATATTTACCAACCTCCGGCAACAAAGACCCAACAGAACAAATGAGCATGGTACCCACCTGCCAATGAGAGAACTTGTGTGTGAAGGATAATGGGTTTGACATGTCTTTATACCTTTATTTCTTGAGAGTATTTGTGCTAACCAGGTAAAGTGTACACTATACAGTATTTAATGATGAGAATGCTTGCAGGCTCTACGGTAATGGTTGCATCAGTAATGAGTTGTAGTCTTTGTATATTGTTTGGGTGCTTGTAGTAATTAATGTAGATAACTTGAAAAACTAAATTAATATACTGTATAGTACAGTATATAGAACACATAATAGACTCCCCTTGGGGGGGAAGCGCATATGTATGTGTTTGTTATTCTTCTCATAATGGACAAGATACATCCCTGAGGAGTGTCTGATAAATGATTAATCCATTAGATAATGTCCTTACAATGTGGCGCCTATGTTCCTGACACTCAATTCTTATTCTGTAAATGCTACAGGACGACTTCCCTGGGAACGGTGATACCTCTACTGATATTACACAGGCTCGTATAAATGTGCATGTACACACACACACACACACACACTCGATTGTATTTTTGCTCACATACACACTGATCACTTTCTAGTCATCTTCATCAAATTCCACTACATCACTGTCACTATTATCATCATATCATGGGTCATCCACATGTTCAACACTACCAGATATGCACAATCAGGCACTCTGATCATGTTGTGGACTATACATATTTGGGTATTCAGGTAAACATTTGTGTAATATTTTAGGACCAGGAATATAACGCCTTTGGTTTACATTTTGTGATAATTATTTACAGTCCTCGGGGTATGTTGGACCCGGAACAAACAGATGAGTCAACTTCAACATGTTTTTTCTTTTGTCGTGGCTCTTCTCTTTATCGTGCGATTGAGATTTTGAAGAGGAAGTTGGTAGCCGATAAATTCGCTGTACTGCACTGCATTGTGTCTTCTGTCCTTTAGTGTAAAAAGTTGTTTTCATTATGCAACTTGAGATTGAATGAAATTTGGTATTTATGCATCTTTATATCATAGGCATCTCGAGAAAGTTTTGTAGGCACCATTTTCCATAAATTATTTTCCAAAGATAAATATGAATCCAGTTTGACTCAGAAGTTTAAATATCAATCTGTATGGAATGTCTGTTTGTTTTTACAGCAGATTAAAATATATTTTGTAGATCAAATTACAATACTGTACATACAAGTACAGTATTCATCATGTCACTTATATCTACTGAGGGTGATAATCTGCAGTTTCTGCTTGTGTATACTGTACTACAGTATTTGAGAATAGTTGGACTTTGTAGCGTATGTGGAGCGAGGCATTCCATCATTTTCGGTGATAATTTTTTCCTTTTTGTTTTTATACATCTGCGGTTGAAAAGTATTATGGGTTTTAAAGAAAATATGTATTAAATATACTACTAATGTTGTAAGTGGAGGTTAAGGCATTTGTTTGGCTTCATTGTCTTGCATAACTCGAGTAGCCAGTTGGCTTGGTGAAGTGTGTGTGTGTGTGTGTAGTCTTTATTATGATATTTATAATGATGTGACACAACAAAATAAGTTTTAGCTTAATCTTTTATTTTTGTGAATGAAAATTAAGGACTTGGAAATCATGCACCAGTGATGTGATCATGCTGCTGTGTGCCTCAGCTCGGGTCTTGTGGTTTACTGATGTGTAGAGACAATATAGTCTTTAAATTTGTTCATTTCTTGGGGATGAGCTTTTTGGTTTGCCCCCCGTCCCCATCCAATGTTATTCTTTCACCTATTTCATTTCTTAACATGTTGCACCTTATTATTGATATCCTCCAATAATCACTCGAGTCACTAAGAGTTTGTCATAATTTAAAGAAAATTCCCCTTGTTTCAGCAGATGAGTGAAGTTAGCCACAAAAGGGAATGTTAACACCCCCCCCCTTACTCTGCTGGTATTAATTTTTATAGGAAAATAATTCCCAACTAATTTCAGTATTTTTCCCTGTTTTTTTTTTTAAACTTGAACGGTATTTTCCCACATTTTGGATCGAGTGAGTGTGTGTGTGTACCATTGTCGCTGGTTTTGGTGTAGAGTAAATAGTTACATCCTGACCAAGGTTAAGAATGGAGGACTGTCTTGAAATCCCCTCATATAACTGAATCAGGATCAAATGACTCTTCTTCCCTTCTTTCTCACATTGGTGCTCTTAGATCAGGTGGATCTGGAGCAGTTGATCACTTTGTGACTGATGTGAGGATTGGAGTGTGTTATGTTGTGCTCGTAACAAAATTTTTCGAGACTCCTTTTAGTGCACCTCCATACCAAGTGGCTATTCTCTGGGACCCTATGTATGAAAGTGAATGATTATATAATTATTTATTCATTTTATCACTATCCTACTTGTCAACTATACAGAATTACTTGATCCTAAGTTGGTTATAAAATAAGATTTCAGGATCAATCTTCCATTTTATGATTATTACTGTTTTCTTGCTGTAATTTGCTGTGACACTCCTTCCTTTTTTTGGCACAAAAGCATAGGGTACTATGGAAAGTGTTATTGCACAGAGTAACCCAATCCCAGTAGTTGGGTCTGTGGCACACTACAGCATGGGTACTGGCCATGTGGATGTGTCTGTTGCAAACTGCACTCATTATGTTGGGCAGGTACTGATCATTTTATGTTTCATGGATCATTGATATTAGTTATTTTTGCTTATTCATATACAGTATAGGCCACTCATAGTGATTCTCATAATTTTGGGGTCAGAGGTCAGGGTCAGTGGTGTTTGTTTTTTTCTCACTGCCTGAACTAGTTATTGACAAAAATATTTATTACAGATCTACTATACTAAAATCTGATAATGTCATCTTTGATTCCACCACTTTGGAGATGTTTGATGTATACTGTAATGTGCATTTTAAAATGCCCATAGTTATGACATACCTACCATATCAAACCTTACAATGTCTTTGAACAATATTTCATTGGTTAGTAATTTACAAATACTTTTGTTTACAAGTCTACAGGCTAATAACTAACCCAAACATCATTCTGTACACCAGTTTGGAGATTTATAATGCATAATGTGTATTCCACTATATTTGTAGTTGTTACATACTTGGTACCTTAATTTAATAGTTTTGTTTGTAGTACAGTACTGTACTTTAGTCTTTAGTATATTTAACATTGTGGTGCATAAAAGTGCTCCTAAATAGTAATTACAGTAAATTATATTGTGCTTTAAAAAATTAGATTTTTGTTGGTCAGTGTATGCAAAATTTGTAAGTCACATACTGTACCAATTTGCAGATCAAGATATGTTACTTATAATATCTGTTCCTGACAGGCTCAGCCAGTTTATGATGCCAGCGGTGGCGGGTTCCCAATCCAGGACGGTAATCGGGGGGATGCAGTACCCAAGGAAGAAGTGCTGCCAGATCAGTTCGGTGGTTCGTTCTCTGACAAGGCCATCCGACATGCTTTTATCAGGAAGGTGTACCTCATCCTGATGGTCCAGCTGTTGATCACACTATGTATTGTGTCCCTTTTTACGTTTCAGTAAGTTTTTATTTCTGTATACAGTACTTTCATCTTTTAACCTTTTGAAACCATTTCCTTCTTAATGCAGGATGGCCAGAATCAAGAACAGACAACCTTAAACATTCTTCCTTCATTTATTATCACTCATTCATTCTTCATGCTATAAAAAATAGTTTCTGCTATATTATTTCCCCTCCACAACAAGGCCTTCAAATCTGGTTTACCCGTCATTTCACTCTAACCTGCATCACCCATCTGCATCACATCTATCCTCAGAAATCACCTGCTGCCACACTCTCTGCTCATTCATGTACACTGCTGCTTCCTAAATGTCCACTGCTCTTACTTCCAGTGAGTCCTTGACCCTATGTTTCCATCTCCTTGGTCTCCGTTCTCGGTCTTCCTTCCCCCTCTCAATTACATTTCTTTACCAATCACTCCTTTCCCTTTCTCAATTCACACATACAGTACATTGGATCATTAGCATTCAGCAAAGGTTTACAATTAACATTAATGGGCATGCCATTTACATAAAGGAAGTGCAAAGATCCCAGGTTACATCTTTGTGGGACTACAAGCTATCATCACTGGTGTCGAGTTTATTATTTGCAAAAGCAAATTTGTTTTCTTTTGTCAAGATAGGACTAAAACATGTCAATAAATCCAGTGCCAAGAACTTGCAGTTTTTCATATAGTTATCATGGTCCACTGTGTCAAAGACCTTTTGTTTACCATTTGTTACCATCCCTGTGTAATTTTCATGAGTTATTCGAGTCTTGATATTGTCAGTAGGATGGATCAAGTAGGAGTAGGTTGAACGAGAGCCCTTAGAATCTGATTGATAGCTGTATAGGATATTATCATGAAGTTATCTGTCTACTTGAACATAAACTGCTCATATTAAGGTTAGAAACCTTACAGGATACTACATCCTAATAGGCCTATAATTACCATCATCATTTTTCTTGATGTGTTACTCTGGCAGACATGCTCATCTGACACAATGTTGATGCTGTTAGACAGGTTGATTATATGTGTTACTGGTGTTATTAATGCCTTTTATTTTGTCTAGTTTATAAGTCCTCTGATGCATGAAAGAGTTAGACTGTTTAGAGTGATTCCTTTCTTTCTGTAGTAGGACTTAAAAATATCTAAACTTGCAGTGTGGTTGTTTCGGGCTACAGTAGTGGCAATTTATTGACTGAGGAGGGAAAAATTTTATAGGAGTTTGTTAAGAGTTCATTATAATATTTAACACTGTTGGAATGTCTTTTGTTTTATTGATGGGTGCCGGAGGGAGACGGGTCTTGCTGTCTCTCTCTGGTGCTGTGTGGCAGTTATCATTATCATATGGGAAGGGATGTCCTCTCCTTCGTAGAGGAATTCAGCCTTCTACGCATGTATTGAGTTTTATCTGTTAACATTTAAAGGTTTTTTTATGAAAGTCCTCTGCTATTTATTATTTATGTTTACACCTTGCATTATTTGATTTTAGTCTTCTAAGCTTTTATTTTAACTCGGCGGTATATAAACCTGAGCTGTTGCGTCGCCAGTGATGTAATTACCACAATCAATCAATATTAGCTACTACCAGAGTTCTTGGGGATTGTATTTGTACCTCAAGATTATTTAGATATTCTGCTTTCTCTTTCTTTATATTTCTCTGATGGATGGATGGATGGATGGATTAGTTTGCGTGCCAGAGATGCATTATCATTTATATATATATACGAGTATACAATATTTTCCTCCCATCATCCTACTTAACTTGGCTTATATACCTGTTATTTACAGCCATTGTTTTTATGACAAATATTGTTTTTTTAACTTGGGCATTTGTTGCCTTACTCCTTTGATATAAAATCACTCGGTTATGTAGTGTTCATTTTATTTACTTATTTTTTTCATCTGTTCTTCTCCTTTGAATTGGCTGTAGTTATGATACAGATAGGTGGGAGGTGTTTGACTGATTTGTCGTTTGTAAGATTTGTTCCGTACTGTACTGCCAATCATGCTCTGTATTTATGAGTGTTAAGTGATCACTTGACATGGTGTCTTATAGCTAAATAACTAGTCTATATAATTTTAATTTAGCTCAATGTTGTAATTTTCCTTAATAATTTTCTATTATAAAATAAATAGCTTCATTTATGGACCTGCTCATTAATATTGTGATCTGACCAACAGCGCTGGAGTACGAACATTTGTGCAGAAACACATGTGGGTCTACTTCGTCTCATATGCTGTGTTTTTGGTGACCTACCTGTCTTTGGTTTGCTGTTCGGGTATTCGTCGCCGTTGGCCCGGAAATTTCATCGTACTGGGATTGTTCACACTTGCTCTGAGCTACATGGCTGGGACCATTGCTTCAACTTTTGATACCAAAATTGTTTTCATGACTGTAGGAATAACCTGCGTCATCTGCTTCCTCATTACCCTCTTTGCTACACAGACCAAGGTTAGTCACAGTAGTAAATATTTTACTGTACTATACATACTAGGATTAAGCAGTACTATATACGGTGATAGCTGGAACAATTGGTGCAGAGCACTTCCGGGAATGAGAGATTTCCGGGTAACGAGACTACTCTCTCAAAGCCGGAAAAAAAATATCTCGTCCCCGAAATTTCCTGGGTAATGGAAAAATTTCTCGGAAGTTCCAGAAATTGCCCATTATGTCATCTCTAGAACCCCGAAAAATATCCCTTATCCCCGGAATTTTTCGGGTATCGGAAAACGTTTTTGAGAATTTTCTGGAAAATGTGCCCCTCGGAAAATTATTTCCAGAGCCGGAATTTTCCGCAAAATTGCGGCTTTGGGAAAGATTTTCCGAGAAAATTTCAATTCCGGCTATCGGAGAGTTTCAGGTTTAAGGGATTCCGGCTAAAGGAGATATTACTGTATTTTTATATATGTATGTATGTGGTACTGTGCAGTAATAATAATCATGGTTGCTCCTTGTGTTTGAAGATTGCAGGCCTTAGGGTCACCTAGGTAGTAAATCATACACACACACAAAAAATAATAATAAAGCTATGAACTTGAGGGTTTCTTGTACAGCACCAGACGTTAATGCTGCACCAGATAATGTTGGTGTTGGTAATCTGGATTAAATAAACTAATTACTACATGTACTGTACTCTATTAATACCAGTGTTATTTTTGTTTATGCTAATTGGTTTCCTTATAAAAAAATATTATTTAAGCATTTTGCATAATTTTAATACATTTTGGGGAAAGATCTTTTCTATAGGATCATATTTCCCATTATATAATAAGGGTCAATGGGAACATATGCATAAATTTTCAAAATCTTTGTTTACTAATGTTTAATCAGAAACAAATCCCTCTTTGTATACTGGGGTCTGCCTGTGTGTGTATATAGGTCAGAACCTTGTGAGCATATACATTGTATATTATACAGTAATATAATAACTTCTGAGATATATTGTTAGGTACACACCCTCTGACAGTTTGAATGTAAAAGCTTCATGTTTTATTTTACAGTATGATTTCACTGGTTGTGGGATCTACCTGTTTGTGGCAACCATGGTCATGTTCCTCTTTGGGATCATTGCTATCTTTACTTACAATAAAATCCTGGACACCGTCTATGCTGGTGGAATTGCTCTACTCTTCTCAATGGTGAGTTACTGTTGTTCAAGTTGTTTTGAAACTCGGTGTCTTAAGTGAACATTAAAGATTCTTGTCCTTTAAAATAGCATTAAATTTTATGTGTTTTACAGCAGAAAATATGCAAGGGAACCTCATTATTTTGTAGCATGCATAACATGCAACTAGATTTATCTTCAGCTTTTGTTTTTGTTGCAGTATGTATTAATATGTACAGTATGTAGCTTGCTAATTAACCTCTTTTGTTTCTTCTTATTTATTTATTGCTAACTGTCGGTACTTATATTATAATTGGTAGTCAGTGAGGGTACTGCATAAAACTTCATACATAAACAGTAGAAGTTATTCCTTAAAGTTGGATGAAAATTTTTCATATACAGTATGTAAAAGTTTATTCTGGAGTTGGACATTATACCGGTAATTGAAAATCCTCATCCGTTGCCAGCTGAAGTGTCCAGTATACCACATTATTATTATTTTTTATTCCCATTTTCTAATAAAGACTTAAATGGTTTTAGGGATCGGTCTTGATTGCAATTGATCCCAGTGTGTCATAAAGGGAACTTAAAGGATATGAAAATGTTGAAACTGTTATGGCTTGTTGTATCTGCTCCACCTAAATACCATAATAAGAACTTGATTTATTGTGATTTTTGCATTACATTTTTTATTTCATTGGTTATATTTATTTCTCCTGGACACATAAGCTTACATTATGCTGTCAAGGGCTCGGTGCCAAGCAAGAGTAGGAACACCAATCAGCAGTCAACTTTGTATGCTGTAGCTGACAAAAGCAATGAGCTGCCACTTTGTTTCTCATCTTAACTTAGGGCAACAATCAATGGCCACTAAATAGATTATTAACCCCTAATGTGTGGCCAACGTACATAGTGTACACAAGTTGTAGCCAACATACGAGTATATGTACACCGTCCTTTCCCATCATCTTTTCAAAGGCCTATAATCTTCCAGCATTCCCAATGTTTACATCTCGAGTTGTGGCATGCATAGGCAATGCCTTTGTGTGTGTGTGAAAAAGTAAGTATATTTGTGAACATGTCTTCATGTATAAATGATGCTTGTGTGTGTTTGTAATTCATTTCATATGCTGTAGTTTAAAGAAATAATCTATTTTTATTACACTCAAAGGTCTTGTGTGCGAGTTTGACTGTGTGTATATTTCATGGTGTAAAATGTACGTCGTAGGTGTAGGAGCACAACTTATGAGAGGTAAACATACAGCTGCGTACTATACTGTACTGTATATATAATGTCAGTAGCTCACGCGTCACTGTCCCCAATGGAGTTGCTGTATCAGCATTTAAGCTTGCATTATGCTGTCAAGGTGAACTGTTTTCTCTAGTTTATAAAAAGCTTTTACGTCCAGACTTATAGGAAAAGAGTTGAGAGGTCTACTTAGATATGGGTAATACTTTCAGGGGATGAAATACATCCATCCTGGGAGCAAAACTGTTATCTTAAATGATAAAAAATATTACTGTAACTACCTTAGCCTATAAGTTTTCTTCTTCGGACGACGGTACATGTTAGTTAGCTTCTAGCTCCAGCAGTGATAAAAATATCTTGTGTGCCTGATACATCTATTATTCTATTTAGTTCCTTCAGCTTACAGTTACAATGACAGACGGGATGATTATACTCTTCTCCAACAGATATATATATTTCCCTTCCCTCACCACCTGTTCCCCCTGACCCACAGACTAGTGTTTTAGATTTGACATTGTGTATACTTCTGTATACTGTATTTCCATCTTTCCCATAACCCTAAACAATTTTTATGTAGATGCTGTACTCTGCATGCTATTGTTGTGATTGTCATGTGATTGCAACTGACTAGAACCACTGTACAAATTAGCTTTATTTTTCTACTTTGCCAAGAAATAAAACAGAGGTGATCTGTATTACCACAATGCTTCATATTTTACGAACATGATTATTCGCCTTCCTGAACCCTGTATGTGGCTGGAGATGTAATTTTTGTATGTAAATTTAGTGAATGTGAGTTGCCTTTGGCCTATTAAAAAACTGAAAAATACATTTATATTGGCACCAATATTAGTGTTAAATGATGACGTGTATTTTTACTTTCACATTGCCGTCAGTATAGTACGGTACGGTACATGACAAATGTCTGCATATTACTGAAGGCGAAGTCTGGTTGCACGCATTTTTCTGTTAATACAGTACAGGTAAAACCGTGTGTGCAGGCTTGATTCCAAGTGGGTACTGAGCTTACTCTAATTCATTTGTTGCACACTAACTAACCATCTGTTGACCTTGCTAGAGTTCCATTCTGATGTGTTTGTGTATTGTTTCATCTTGTTGACACAGGGTATGGTTTTGACAACTTTTCTTTTTTTATTTTTGCAATCGGTTTCTGTGCAGTGAATTTCTAAATTATGAGTACCTGTGGAACCAAAATTATTAATTGTGAACATAGGCATTTTTTGGAGGGATGCACTGCTTGTGGAGGTTTGATTTTAAGGGAAGACTTCAAAAAGTGCTAAACATTCACTCTCATGTCAGCATCACAGGCTTTTTTCCCCTGCCTGTGGTTAATTCTCAGCTTGTATTCAATTGCCTTTTTCACTTCAGTTAAAAAATTACTTCGTCAAAATATTTGCTGTCGGCTTCCTGCTAACATAGAACATTTGTACAGATTACCTCAAATTTACCTTGAGTATAATATCAGTAAAAGATATTAATCTTAAATTAACTGATGTTTTTAAGTGTTGACTTAATTGTCACTCTCCATCTGTTAAGAATGAATTAGTTTTTTTCAAACATGTTTTTAATTAAACAAATTTGTTTGATGGTCCAGTACTGAAGGTCAGCCAGGTTCTTAATCTCCTATACTGTAATGTCTTATTAATTTGATAGTGAACAGTTGTAAAGTTACGTTCATTGGTGTGGGTAGTGAGTCTTCTCACAGTGGTTCCGAGTAGCTCCTCCTCCTCGGGATTATTTATAACTCCATTATTATAGTAATCATTAAAAATTTTAACATTATTCTTTATTGCATGAAGTCTTTCAACTTTACTCTGATGATTCAAAAGACACACTTTTGTTTATTTACTAGTAGGTACAGTATTATTATTATTATAGGTGACAAATTATTTGGCACAACATTTCTTTGGCTAGATTACTTACTTTGTGCTTTAAACTAAAGGCTTTGATATTGCAGTTTGAAACTGTTTAGACTTTTTTATCTACACAAGAAGTTTTTCTTTCACACACAAATAGCCAGTCAAGGACTAAGTGTTGAGCAGTTCCTGATGCTTGATGCAGGGAAAATAATTGAAGAACTGTTTTTCATGGCCTCACGAGTTCTCACAAGTGACTTGCTGGGAATAACACCTACAGATGCTACCTGGGTTATGGATACTCTCCCATAAGTCGTATTTAAAATGAATGCAAAGTAATTCTTGGGCCAGGCGGAGAGATTTCCAACCAAAACCCTCCTGTGAGCTGTATGTTAGCTATGTTATGGTAATTTTTAAACAAGTAATTTTGGGTAAATACACAGTAAATTGGTCTCTGGGTCTGGATATGAATATAGATTAAACTGAGCAATAGGGCTACTTGAGTCTAGATTGCAGAAGAAACTGGCCATTGAATTTTCATCCTGCCAAAACTACTTGCACTCCTTGAACAATGGCTGGCACTGTTGAATAATATTAATGTTTATTCAGTAAAGTTGTCATGTAGGTTTACAATTTGATAAGTCTGTTTATAAACTATGCAGTTATACATTTCAGCATGAATTTAGGCAATGTAGGTGAACAGTGCATGATACCTGCTGGTTCATATCCCTAATCCATGCAAAGTTTAATGTTAGATATTCTGGGCATAGTCCATTGAAAATCCTGTTAGTGTGATTCAGCCTAAGTTGCTTCACTATCCATCACACTTAACATGTTCGGGGATTGAAGAACTTTATGACCAGAGTGATCTCTTGCGTTCCTGTCAAGAATCAACCTCACCACTTTGTTTTGAATAGTTTGGAGCTTGGATTTTAGCTTCTGTGTAAGGCCAGAGTACCATGACAAGCAGAAATAGTCCAAGTGACATTGTATGAGTGTCATGCAAATGTATTAGCATTTCTGTAGAAATATTTTACTCTGGCATTACTTTTTTTAACTTTTATCTACAATTAATTCACCAGACAAACAAGAGTCTAGAGTTAGCCCTAGGTATTTCACCTGAGGTTACAGTTGATAATTTGTTGTCTGTGAGTCACTGTTTGCCTGACTTCAGTTCAGATGATTAGTTATAACATTTGGATTGTTACCTGACACTAAAAGAGCACTTTCATCGGTATACAGCAAAAGTTTACAATTAACACCAATGGGCATGTCATTTACATAACACAGGAAGAGCAAATGTCCTCGGATACTCCTTTGTGGGACGCTACAAACTATTGGCATGGATATCAGCTTGGTGATATTTGCAACAATGATTTGTTTTTCTTGTAGCTAATACCCAATGCCAAGAGCCTGCAGTTTTTCACTTACTATATCATGATCAACTTTTGTTAAAGGCATTTTGCAAGTCTAGCATTACCATACCTGTGTAATTCCCCGAAGCTGTTACATCTCATTGTACTTTGTTTCTTAACCTACAAAATTCTTTGTGTGACTCATCATGATGTCTGTTTCTTTTAAACTCATGATTGAGTTGATATCTGTGTCTGATTAATTCCAGTATCTTGCTAGTCACCAGGGTTCAGTTGTCCTAGCTTTTATTCTCATTTCCTTCAACTGCACTGTCATCAAGAACGTCGGTAAAAGTAGTTTTGAACTACTCCGAGGCCTCGTTAACCTCCAAGCAATTTGTCACATGACCAATCAATATTTTGTAATTTATTTTGGAACTCTTCTTTATTGTAATTCTTCATTGGCTTATTTTGATTACTTATGTTGTCCTGTCTTACCCCTGACCTTTATCCTGCTGCAGTAGGTAATGAGACCAACAGGAATGACACCTACCTG